AGTCACTTAGCAGCCTGCAGTGGGAGCACAACCATGCTGAGGGGCTGGCGCATCCTCACAAACAGCCTTGAGACCCCAGCCGGGCATGCACATGGATGTGGTGGGGGGTACCATGACACAGGCATGCGGAACAACCTCCCATGCTCGTCTCAGCAGCATTGCCCACTTTCAAGGGAAGCCTCTTGCAGCAACCCCATGTAAGTGATCCCCAAGAACAGGCTTCAGCATCACCACAGGTAAGATCCATGAGCACAAAGTGTCCCTCATTGCACCCATCTCCTCCCACATATCCTCTCCTGCAGATTAACAGCCTACACTGTGGTGCACCAGGGAAGCCCTTGGGAGAGGCCAGCCCCAGAGATCCTGAGCTGGGATCTGATGCAGCCTCCTGGGGGTCTGCAAAGGAATTTGCTATCCCAGCCTCACTCAAACCCTGTCACAAACTTTGCCCTTGAGCTGCTGGGCAAGGACCGTAGCAAGGAGAGGCTTTGCCACAGGTTCCCACATGGTGAGTCTTGGTGTGAAGCATCTCCCCCTTCACAGAGATGGGTGAAGAGACAACCACAGGCTGAGCTTGCCCTGAACTGGACGTTGCCATGGCAGAGGGTACTGGGTAGAGATGGGAGGAGGTCAGCAGCTCCTTGACCAATCTTGTGGAGGCTCCTCAAGTGAGATGGGAACACAAAGAGACTAAACTGGGTTGGATTGGCCTCTTTGATAGTCTTCTCCTGGAGGGAAAGCAGAGATCCTTCCTTCTCCATCACCATCTTCCCCTCCCAGGGCACCTCCCTGCTGCCTGCCCTTCCCAGTCGCTGCATGGTCACCCCTGGTGCTTGCTTCGAGAGTACCTGCTGACCACAGCATGTCCCTTTTTTAGCTGCTGACAACTGTGAGCAGTTCAGAGCTGCGATGCTGCTGTTCATCAAAGGTGGGACCTAGGATGTGCTGTTTGGCTCGGGATGTCTGAGTGCAGGGAAGGGCGGAAGGGACAACCTGTACCCTCAGCCTGGATAGCAGCTGAGTCTGGACCTGCTGTTGGGCACCTGCAGGTTCCCTTGCAGAGGTTGAAGTGTGATCTCCAGCCCATAGATGTCCTGCCCTGCTGTTTCCTTATGTGCATTACATGAGCCATGTCCCACAGAGGCAGGAAAAGCAGGGAACCAGGAATATGAGGCCACGGATGTCCAGTTGGCAAGGGCTTGAGCTTGTCCTGGTCTCCAGTCCCCCAGGATGGTCAGGAGTGGGGCTCAGGGTACACAAAGAAAGGCTGGGAGAGGTGGGTTGGTTCAGATTGAATTATGGAAAATTTGGAGGGGTCTTACACTCTATGCAGCGAATTAACTGGAGGATGCAGAGAAGATGGAGCCAGATCTTCAGAGGTGCATGGGGAGAGGGAAAGAGGCAGCGAGAACAAGCTGGGACATGGGAAATTCCTTTTAGATACCTGGAAGAAAAAACACACTAAGAGGGAAGTCAAACACTGGGAGAGAGGCCAGAGAGGCTGCGAGATCACCATCCAACCTCAACCGGACAAGGCCTGGAGCAACTGGACCCTGACCCGGTCCAGCAAAGCTGGCTGTGTTTGGGCAGAAGGTCAGCCTCTTCCCATCTCAATTATTCCATGTTTCTGTTAGGACACACCTTAATGATGCATTGACTTAGTTCCCAGGTACTCTATCTCCATTACGCAATGCTTTCATCTGGCTGCATGTAGCCTCGCAGCTGCTCTGTGTGAACCATCCCTCCTTACTGTCCTCACCTAAGCTCCCATCCACAGCAGGAGACTGTGAAGCCTGCCTGCTTGGTGAAGCCCATGGTCTACCCGACCTCCTCATCCTCCTACAGCACTACCTGAGTGCCACATGTGTGCGAGGAGCAGAGGGGAGGCTTTGCTCAAGAGCGACCTGACCGCGTGTCTCAGCAGGCTTCTGCATGGCTCCCCGCAGCCTGGCAGCTCCATGCTTGCTTTTGCCTGGATCCTGGTTGCCCTGTTGGGTCTGAGCTTTCCAGCAGCCCCGTTCCGATGCTGCTTTCTGGTCCCATGGAAGAAAGAGAACCTTTCATAAGAGCAGAACAAAACAAAGGCTTTGTGAATCTGAAGAGCAACGTTTCCTCATGGAGAAACCGTGCAAGGCTCAAAGGCAAATACAGGGAATTCCCAAGCACCTTTACCTCTATCCCTCCTCATCACCGCCCGCCCTGAGGACGAAGCAACCCTGGGTGCTAAAGGAACACCACAGCAGCACTCCCTGCCTCCAGATCTGGGAGCCAACTGCTCTCCCGTGGCAGATTTCACAGCAGCCCGTAGCCACTTCCAGCCGAGGAGTGCCTGACAAGTTGGAACAGCGAACCCTGCGCGGCCCGGGGAGCAGCGCTGGGCCAGCGAGCCCTTTGATTGCGATCAGCGAGCTGGCAGGCATCCCAGGAACTCGCACAAAAATGCTTTGAAGAGGGCAGATGCACAAGGTGTGTCCCGTGTGGGGCGCGGGGCCGTGAGTCACGGCATCGCCATGCGATGCACATGCACCCCAGACCGCGGCGACGGCCCCGACACCCTCACATCACTGCAGCCCTGATTTATTGTCATGTCTTCATTTCACCCCCCAATCTGTTGCCCATTGCACCCTGAATTCGGGTTTGTTGCCCTCTCCACCTTCCCCCCCACACACACACACTGCTGCCTGCGAGCTCCAGACATAGAGGCAGACAGGGAATTTGCTTCAGGCACTGGTAGATGCAAGCTCTGCTGCTGCGTTGGGGATGACACTCACCATGCCCTGCTAAGTAAGCATCCCCAGCCCATGGTACAGAGCAGTAGCAGCAGTTTGCACAGAGGTGCAATGAACTGCTTTGTTTAAATACCTTTTGCTCTTTTGGGTATGGGTTTGGAGGGTTGTGCAGAAACCAAGGACGTTTGGGTTGGAAAGAACCTTAAAGCTCCTCCAGCTCCAACCCCTTCCACTGGAGCAGCTTGCTCCAAGCCCCTGTGTCCAACCTGGCCTTGAGCACTGCCAGGGATGGGGCAGCCACAGCTTCTCTGGGCACCCTGTGCCAGCGCCTCAGCACCCTCACAGGGAAGAGCTTCTGCCTAAGAGCTCAGCTCAGTCTCCCCTTGGGCAGGTTCAAGCCATTCCCCTTGGCCTGTCCCTCCAGGCCCTTGTCCCAAGCCCCTCTCCAGGTTTCTTTCCCTTGTGCTGGACCATACAAATTCGCCCAAAGAAACTATTGTTTCTTGAAAGCCTTTGTGAGCTCCATCCCCAGCTCCGCAGCCCAGCTCAGCATTTTGGGTGAGTTATGAAACAGGGCAGATGCCGGAGCCAAATGACTGGCTGTGATAAACACTTGGCTCTCCCGTGCAGGGACAGGGTGAGGGCTGTTCCTTGCCGTAGGGGAAATGACATTACAGGTTTGCAAGAGCTGGGCACTTTGTTGTGCAGAAGCCATCTGACGCTGACAGCCTGTCATTGATTTGCGAAAACATCGCTTGGCATCGATAACAAGCTTTCAGGAGAAACAAGTAGGACAGAGCAAAACAACACCCAAGTATTGCTTTGCTGTTCCCTACCCGGGATGGAAGCACCCAGACCCATCCCCACTCTTCATCCTTCTCCATCCCGCTTGGGCATCATCTATCTGCTCATGGGCAGTACTCAGCCCTCATCCTGGCTGGTCTTGCTCTAAATGTCCAGGCTGGTTGGATGATGGAGCAGAGTGAAGGCTCTGCATCCCTTGGGTGAGCTGTCAGGAAATGCAGGGAGAAGGGACTAAAGGTAATTACCCTCTAGTTGCTCTAGTCCTGTGTCTCAATGGGCTTCTGCAGTTGGGTTTCACTGGATGAGCATCCTGAAGCATCAGAAGAAGGTGCATAATGCTCATCTTTCTGAGGAAGATGCCCCGTCCTTTCTGATACTGCTCTTATGAATACAAAACACTGCTCACAGGCCACCAGAGAAACACAAAACCTGATGAATCGACCAAAACAAAGTGCTTCCCCTCTCCTTTCAAGGAAGGACCCAGCAGGAAGGAGCCTGCTCCTCCTGGCCCTTCTCTGGGCTGTCCTAGGAGACTCAGGAAGCCTCTGCCCCCTGTGCACCCTCCCCTCTGCCTCCCTACAGTTGGGGTTTGTGCCTCTTCTGTATCAGCCTCTTGCGGGTTGGCAGGAGCTTTGTCAGCGCTTGCTGCGACCTGAAACTGGTCACACCAGCACCGAGGTGTTCAGTTCTCTGCAGACGAGTTGCTGCAGTGTGGCTTGGCAGAGGGAAAACCCTCTGCTCGGATCCAGAACCTGGCATGTCGTTTCTTGTGCAGCCACTTTGTCTTCTCTTCTGCTGGCTAAAAGTCCTTTCCTCTGTGCTACCCCAGGTTACTTGCAAAGGTTGCCCCAACTCTTTCCCTTGTGCCTGTCCTTGAAGGAAGTGTAACCCCTTTTGGGAAGAGGTCTCGCCCCCATGAACGCAGCAGGACCCTCCATGACCCCCACTTTAGGTGCTGTGCAGGTGACCCTGAAGTCCTGGGCAGGTAGAGCAAGCAAGTGGGGAGCTGGACACCCTGACCAAGGGAGGAGCATCTCGGCAGGATGGAGGCTGGAATGGGCAGTGAGGGCAGCAATGTTCCTCTGACCTATGGTGTGTTCAATGCTGACTCCTACTAAAAGGGGTGTCCCCAGGCTCTTGGCACTGGGACACCATTTTGATCCATTTTAGATGAAGGGAAATAGTAAAATACATGCTGAGTAGGCTGAGTTGGAGATCCTGCAGTTCTCCATCCACCAAAGAGCACTATTCCCTACCCAGATCTACAGTGCCTCTCCCACGAGCACCTTCCCAGTGAAAGGAATGGCGATGTCCATCGCTAACCCTCATTCCTCCCAGCCTTGCCCGGTCCCCATTGGTACCCACACACTCCCCTTGCCCTCAGTGTGCGCCGGCACAGGCTGGGGGAGGCAGATGTGGGGCGAGGGCAGCGGGAGCTGTGTGTGCCCTGCAGCGGGGAGCGGTGGGTGTGTGCAGGCAGGGCTGTATATCCAGTCTGGCAGAGGGTGTGCCTGCTCACACGCCGCGGAGCCGAGCCGGGAGCAGGAGCCCTCAGACACCCTTGGCTGGGGGACGTATGGCAAGGAGGGGTTCAGGAGATTAACCCCAGCCCTTGCTGTCGCCTTGCGTTGTGTGCGGTCCGGTGAAGTGCAGCCCCCTGTCCCCAGCCCCACGGTCTGCTCGCAGCCATGCTCCACTCTCCACTGAAAACAGCGTTGGCATATGAGTGTTTCCAAGACCAGGCCAGCTCCACGCTGGCTCTGCCCTCGGACCACAAGCTGAAAACTAAGGGCACGGGAAAACAGCGGGTCCAGGAGCAAGTGATGATGACGGTGAAGCGGCAGAAGCAAAAGTCGTCTGTGTCGTCGAGCGTGGGACACTCCAATCGAGGTAAAACCCCACCGTGCTCCAGACAGCAAAAGGGTCCTCTCTTGGGACAGAGCAGATATTATGGGTGCTTCTATGGGGTTTTGTTTGTGGGGGACAGACTGGTTCTTGTCTCTCACAGGTTATCCCGGGTAGGGGATGCTGAGGTCTTTTGCACTGGATGGAAGGGTTAGAGCTGGATGCATCGGCTCCCTCCCAGTGGAGCTCATCTCCCCGTAGTGCTGCGCTGCTCCACATCCTCGAGGCACTTGGACAGTTCAGTGTGGTGCTATTCACCATTTGCTCCCTGGCCCTAAAGGAAGATGTGCTGCACCTCTGCAGATCCTTCCTCTGCGAGTGCCCCCATGGTTGGACTCCTCCACCAGTCCCATCTCCTCCCACGGGTGGCCAAAGCCACCCACTGTGTCATGGGGCCAGGAGCTGGCCACAGCAGGGGCTCGGCTGTCTCCTGAGCGTTGGGCAGCAATGCCTGCACACAGGACACAGACCTGAGCTTGGGATTCGCCTCGGAAGCTCCCAGCGTGTCTCCCATTTGTAGGCTGAGAAGTGTGGGGGCCTCCAGGACACCCCGGTGTGAGTGCTAGGGAGGAGGTGAGTTAGGAAGAGCGATGTCCTTTAATCATAGTGGCTTGTGTTGGTTCAGTTGGAATGCTTCCATTTAGCAGATGGGTTGAAAGGGGTGCAGAGGTGCAGGCAGCCAGTCCTCCTTAATGCACTGAGTCTGTACCATAGAAGATAAGTGATCTTTGGAGTCCTGGAGCTGGGTTTCCTACAGCGATACCTTCCTCTTGGGGTGAAGGCTTGGCTGATTGTTTTCCTTGCTGTCCCTGTGTCTGGAGGAAGCTGACTGGGAGGTGAACCTCAGCTTTCCCCATCCAGGAGCTGCAAACCCAGAGGGCTGTGGCAGCCACAGTGCAAAACTTCCCGGTTCTTGGAAGTGCTTTTCCCAGCAGCTGCAGTGAGCTCACTGCCCTGGCTGAGTTCACTGGGAAGAGGGATTCCCAAGGCTCTGGGGGAGAGAAGGAGCCTGGGATTGAACCATTCAGCCACGTCTGCAGTGGGCAGCATGTAGAGGGCTGTTTGCTGGGATGCTGGGTGGGCTGGGTCAATCTCTGCCACCTCTTTTAGGGACTATGGCTTGCCTGGCAGCTATTCCAAGGGGGATCATGAGGCTGAATCCAGTGCTGATGAAGTGTAATGGTGCAAACACACATTTTGGGCTGGTTTACCAAGAGAAGCGGGGCAGCAGAAGGCTGCGGTTGAGGCGGTGCTGCCCTTGGAGCCATCCTGGCTGTGTGCATTGCAATTGCTGTGATGGAGGAAATACAGCAGCTTCACGGTGGATGACACGGATGCAGTGACAGTGCCAGGAACAAATCCCTGCTTTCTCTTTATTTGCGTGCTTGTGGACATAGGTTCCCAGGGGTATGTGGGGGGACGGGGCAAGGAGAGCTTTGTCCTGCCACCAAAATGGAAGATGCAAATCTCCTCCTACCTCAGGAGGGTTTAGTGCTTGAGGTGCTGTGGTGCCAGACCTGACAAAATAAGCTACAATGCAGGATGAGATGAGAGGCTCTGGGTGGGGACTGGCACTGCCTTTCCAGCAGAGGGGTATTTCCAGGGGAAGCAGGCAGAGAGATGTCTCCCACTGCTGCCCATAGCAGGGAGGAAGGGAGGCAAAGGGGGATTGTTCCACTTGGAGAAGCCCAGGTGAAACCTCTGGGAAAGAGGAAAACAAAAAGAGGCAGATTCTCCTGCTGCCCATCTCAGCTGGAGGCTGAAGGTAAACCCCTCCTCCAGACACTGCTGGAAATGCCTGGGAATGGGAATTGCGTGGAAATGCGCAGCTCTGGTTTCTGTGTCCCAGGGAAGCTGAGTCACATCCAGCTCCCAGGAACTGCCTCCAAACACAGGGCTGAGGCTGCCCTATTCCCACTGTGGGGAGGTTGGTCAGTGTGAAGGTCCTGGGGGCTGTGCTCAGTGCATTCCTGGATAGAATCCCAGAGAAGCTCCTGTTTATTCTCAGGGTTTTCTCCTGGGTCTAAGCCTGAGTGGGTCAAGTTAAACCTTCAGGTATTGCTGTTGGTACAAAGGTTATCCCAGCAGACCTAATGAGAAGCATTAATGTCTCCTACAGACAGGCTCCATGGGGCTGTAGCCAGCTGTGGATGTCTGCTTGTTCAAATGCTCCCCCAGCATCAGTTACCTGCATCCCCCCATGGTTTCTCAGAGATGCTCCTCAAAGGCAGCACAAGCTGGGGAATTCACAAGGCCCCTTGAAGAATGTTCAGGTCCTTTGTTCCCTCTGCACCCAGACAGTTTCTCTCATGTGTCTGGTTAGGTGTTGGTGCAGGTCCAGCCGTTGTGCATTTTGATCTGTGGTTTGGGCAGGAACTGAAGCACAGCACAGAGCTTCCCCTACCTTCAGTGTGCGCTTCTCTATGTAGGATGAGAGCGTGGACATGGACCCCTTCTGCATGTAGGAGGGATGGGCACTGTTGTATCCCATAAATGGGGTTTATTTAGAGGGTAAATAGACATTCCCTCAATGTCCTGTTGATGGATATGGAAAATTACTTGGTTATTTGGAGTCCACCAGATCACCACTCTCTGAAGATCTGGCATCACTCAATACGTGGCACAAGCCAGAGCAGGGAATGTGATCTATGTGGGCTCAAACTGGTGTGCACTGGGGTGGGGCAGTGAACAGAAACCAGTTACAAGCAGCATAATCCTGTACCCACAGTGGGGCCTTCTCTCAGCAGAGCAGCTATGGGTGTTCTCAAGGATGGGTGCAGAGTTTTGGGTCTGTGGAGTCTGTCACCCTTGGGCTTTGGGTCTTTGGGCTCTGCCTTAGGATGTATCTGCCCTTCTCCCCATGGGAATAGCTAACTGGATGGCTCCCTCTGGATTTGTGAGTCATGCAGAAAAGTAATTTCAGTGGCAGGAGACAAGGCCAGGCCAAGCTGAAAAAGCTCCTCACAGCCAACAGCACTGGTCTGCAAAGTCCTCTGGCTAAAGAGAAGTTTTGCCAGTAACTCTTCATTGGGTGGCAGAGTATATCAGGGAGCAAAGACCTGAGGAAACCCGCAGGGACCATCCTATCCAGCTGTCTCACAGCTGAGCTGTGATTTAGATGTTTGTCATGCTGACATGGCTGAGAGGGGAGAAATCCCACCTAGCTCTAATGGCATCCCACTTAGCTCTAATGGGACCCTACCTAGCTCTAAGACAGGGTCATTACTCTGATATGAAGAGGAGATTTGGGGGTTAGTAAGTCTTTTGAAGACTTCTGTAATGTTCCGCTGGCATGGGATGGTTCAGTGAAAGCCATCCACTGATCCACAAACCTTAGATTATCAGTCAGAAGCAATACCAAAACCCTTTAGCTCAATAGGCCAGAAGGCAGAAATGAAGTTTGGTCATTCCTGTAAGAACTGCAGCTTCTGGAACTCCACTGACACTTCTCTCCTATGAGGCATCCAGGCTTTGCTTTGTGCCTCCCACAGGCCCTTTTCTCTTACTATGCTTTTTCTATGTTTAATCATCCTTACTGTTTTAAAGCCGTGCATAGTTCATTATTTAACTTGTTTAGCCTGCACTACCAGTGACTGCTTCTTGTCTTGCCTTTCCCTGCCATAGATTAATATTTATTAACGTGTATCCATTTCCACAATGCTCCCTGTTAGCTCCGTGTGTCTCTGAAGTCTTTCACTGTCATGCTTGAGAAATGGCATTTAATTCTCCTTGCCATCAGTCTCTTAGCTTCAAGGGGTGTAAAGTTGCCTTTGAAGACAGTAAATAACTCATCAGGGACAGGCATATTGGGTTGGATGGAAGTCACGGTTTGCTCTTCAATGATCTGTAACAGCTATAGAGAAGAGAAGGAGGAAAGCAAGGCTCACAGTGACCAAGTGCCAGATCTTGCAGTCCTGGCCTGTTGTATCTTTTACCCTCAGGAACTGTCCCACTGAAGTTCAATGAGGATTTAAACTGACCAGGTTTGGAAAGAGATGCCTTGGGTGAATGACATTTTGGGGAGGGTGGTGGGAGAGAGGGGTCCCTTCAAAGCCCAGCCAGCACCTGAGCAGCTCTCAGCAGTATTTTCTGCCCACAGCCACGGTCACTGGGAGGCTGTTTCATCTGAGTGATTCTCATCCATGTCTTTTCTGCCTCTGTCCCGGCTGTTGTCTACTACTAATACAGTGGGTTTGATTGTCTGTGTTTGTCCAAGGGCACTTCAGAAACCTGGATGGCTTTTTGGATGACAACATACGGATCGTAGGGATACAGCTACAAAAAATACACCACAGAGGCATCTTCCCCAAATAGCATTTCCACCCTTTGTCAAAATGCTTTGCTCAGGAGATAGACAGCCTGTTTTTATCCAGATTCTCAGGACCTGTGAGCAGTTTGTATGGTTTTTACCCTTGAGGTGGTTGAAAAGAATATCCTTCCTTGCCCCAAGGGCTGGTGGTACACCTCCAAGGTGGCTCTCGAGATGAACCAGGCAGAGAAGTGTCTAACGTTGCAGGACTAAACAAAGACGATGTTTTCTTAGCTAAATCCATCAGAAAATCCTCAGGTTCCTCCTGGCCTTCAGACTGAGTTCTCCAAGCAATAAACCACAGTTGTATGGTAGCAGGAGAAGCACCTTCCCCAACCAGCAAGGCGGCTTCCAAATGCCTTGAACGTTTGAGGTTATGTATAATTATGTACTCATAAGCTTTTATATACAAGTTCTTGGAGGTGAAGGTAACTCTTCAACAACTGAAGAATATAAACTTGCATGAACTGCCTGCTCTCTTGAAGCTGGCTATGTAGCAGTGAATTCGTACACAAAAATCAGAAATGTGCCTAAACTGTCTTATTTTTGGTGTCTCCTTGCTCAACCCCAAAAGCTTGAGTGCAGTGCATGGCAAGAATGGATCCTGAAAGGAAAGGCGTGTTTCCCAGGAAAGACTGCTCAGATTAACTTGTGATTCGTGCCTAAAACCCCTTGATTCCAATTTGTGGCCAGGAAAATGCTCCCAAGCACTCCCACCTGCAGTTCCATGGTGTGTGCACAGAACAAGAGGTTGACTGTAAGAAGGAATTCCTAGGAAACTGTTGTCATGAGATTGTTTTGTCTTTGCACTCAAAACTATGCTAGTTCTGTCTCCTGGTGAATCACTTGGTCCAAACTTACCATTTCAAGCCCTGCCTTGCTTCTGTTGAGGCTCAACAGTAATGTCTTCATCTGGAGTTCCCAGGAAATCTCGGGGTGGGAAGGGAAGCACAAAGTGAAGGGCACAGCTGAATTGTATCTCCAGTTGTATGTTGATGGCCATTTCTTTGCCCTATCAGCAAGTTCTGTGCAACTAAAGATATATTAAGATATATGAAAATCTATATAATGAAGATATATGAAAATCTATACCATAATAGATTTTAATATGCAGATGTATCTTAATAGATCTGTCAGGGCTAGAGAGATATTAATAGGGAACAATGCCCACCAAGTCTCTAGACTAAGGGCAACAAGATCCTGTGGTTTTCTGCATAAGTGTATGTCTGTGAGACTACTCCGCTGCTGCTTATTCTGCATGCAGTGGTGCTCTTCAGACGCTGCCATCCATGCAGCCTTGCCCTTTTCTTGTTGACAATAGAAAGCAAATCTCATTATTTGTACCACATCTGCAGGAATCATCTTCCTGAGAAAATGCAAGAATTTTTAGCCACAAACCAAATCACCATAACAGGTTCCGGATGCCCCAGGCTAGGCAATAAACTAGATTTATTCCAAGGATCAGTGGCTATAGAAGACCTGAGTGGCTTCAGGGCCTTTGTGGTTGAGCTTATCCAGTTTATCTAAGAGATGAGTCTTATCGAACAATCAGAGAGATTAGGATATTTCTGACATTACCCACCAGTTTAGGTGCATAACTTAAGACAGGTACGTCCTGATTTTGTACTTCGTTAGACATTCAGAGCTTCCCCGGGAAGTTAATTGGAATGTAAGGTTTGTACTTCCTCATAACGGGACTTGGGACGCCACAATTATTGAGCACTTCTGAAAATGAAACTTAAATGACCTTATACTCTTTTGGACCATCTGAAAGGGGTGAAAGGAATTCTAGCATGGAAAGAGATATAACTCACTTCACTTTTTCTTCTAGTGATGAGTGTAGCACTGAGTAAAATACTTTCTAGGAGGGATCCAAAGAGTGTACTGCTAAAGGCTACTGGTGAGAGACAGCTGGAAGAGCTTTTAGTAGGGCTGCGATAGGTAACTCTAAACACTGAATAAAGCACTGAGAAATAGTTCAGATGGCTTCCAATCCAAGATATCTGCCTCTTTACAGAATGTGTCTGAGATCTGGTCTCACACCAGCAACTCAAAAACAGCAATGGACCTCAATACATTTCCAGAAGAAGAAAGTACGAGTACACATGGTGATCTTTTAGAGACTGAAGATTGAAATTTAAGGCAGTGCAATTAGGGGCTCTTTAGTGTTTGACTGTTTCAGATCCCCAGGTGTTAAATAGACTTGATCATCATTTACCCATCGTGTTAGTTATTTACTATTTATTGAGCCTTGCTCAGGTTGTTCGTGCTGATGTGGTTGTTAATATTCAGACCAGGAAACCCAGGCTGGTGAAAGGGTCTGGGATGGGTTTTGCCTTCAGAGGAGAGACAGATTTTATTTACCTTCAAGTCAGAAGGGAAGAATGTTCCAGGTTCAGACCTTCCAGGATGTGTAGCACAAACTATCATCCAGTTCCTCTCATATAGCAAAGACCTAAGACATTGGGCCAGTCTCTGACTTTGTCCACTGTAGATCTTATGGTACTCAGTGCTGAAGACCTTAGGCTGTTGCTTGTGGTCTGAGGGCTGGAATTTCCAAGAGCTCATTTGAAATGAACATCACCTATGAGTGGTCTGCAATGGCAGTGGCTCAACTTCGCATTTCCTGTGTTCCTGTTAAAGTTTCTAGCTCTGCTATCTTCAGGAACCAAACTCACTGGTGAAAAGACCACTGTGCTCTGAAGGAGTGCCTGCTGGGAATGCTTTGTCCTGCTGACCATGCTTTTTTCACTTCCAGGTTCCATGTATGATGGTTTAGCTGATGGTTATGGCTATGGGACATCCCGAGGCAGCTATTATACCAAAACCCAAACAGGAAACAGCAACTGGGGATATCCGGTAAGATGCTCTTTTATCTGGGAACTGTGGCATTCTGTTGAGGTAACCTGTGCAGAAAGCACCCTCTAGCCAGAGCAGTCACGTAGCAAGGTCATAGCACTTCAGAAGCTTGCCTGAGAGATATTATGTATGGTTATGGCTATCTTAGATGGTAATTCAATGTAATGGAAGAGGATGATTGAGGACTCTATATATATATTGTATGTGGTTAAGGATTTTAGTGTGGACAAGAGCTAGTTTGGGTTTGTGGATTAATATCCACATGGCAGAAGAGGCTTGAAGCTTTCTCTAGGGTCAGTTACAGGTTCAGACTCTTACAACTCAGTTCAAGTTTGGAGCACATCCATTGCTCACCTGCAAGAGTTTCTGTTTCCATGTACCCAAATTCCTATGTGACTGCCATGAACGTGGTTGAATAGTGATGATCAGGGGATTTATAACTGTGTTGCTATTCCCAATTGCAATGCCAGTGCAGACCCTTTGCAGATGTTCTCTGAGCTTGGAAAAGAGGTGGTCCACTTCTGCCATAGTGATTCCAAAGAAAATATTATGGATTGCCAGAAAAAGCACAGGGGAGATTGCACTTGTCTTTGTGCAATCTGAGTTTATACAACTCATAGAGGTCCTGGTCTTATCCTTGGTGACAGACTCTAGGTACAGTGGGAATGATTCCAAACCACTCCAAAGTCTACTGGGACAACTTGTGCTGGTGTTGCTCCTCCACCTATTCTGTTCTTCCTTGGTTCTCATTAGCTATAAAGTAGAAAGAAGCAATGCACAGATCTGGGATTTGAATGAGAGCAAAACAAAGGGCTTTCTTCAACAACTCTGGGACTGTAAAGCAACTTCCTGTCAACCATCAAAGGATTGAACCAGGAAGAGTGCTTATGTTGGCTTTGAGCACACAGAGGATTGAAGCTGCTCCTGGTAGCTGCCAGATCCTCTGCCTGTTCACAGCATTCTTCAGCTTCAGAAAGATTTATCTGTTGCCTTGGTGTAGCATATTTGCTTCAATGGGGTGACATGGCTTGCTAAGTTTGCATCACTGGATTTGCTGCTTGCTGCATGCTCAGTAGGAAGGACTGGGAGCACTGGCAATGGACACTTTTATTTGCAGACTGCCTGTTGACTTCTTTCAGCATCCTTTGCTGAGCTGGTTAAATCCCAGACAGTGGTGTTTCTGCCTGGCTTAAGACCAAAAGGATGCCTATGATGGGTCAGAGCAGAGGTCCAGCCAGCCAGGTGCTGTGTCTCCATCACTAAGGCAGGAATAGGTCCCTTCAGAAGGGTCTAAGCATTGCAAGCGGGCAGTGATGCATTCCAGAATGGTTTAGTAGCCACCTGAAATTGCCGCTGAGGGACCTCCTGAGCTGGAGGTGGAGTCTCTGAGCTTCATAAGTCAAATGATTGTCCCTGCCTGTGGCACGGGGGGTTGGAACTGGATGAACTTAAGGTCCTTTCCATTCCAAACCATTCTATGATTGTGGCGCTTTGGTTCAATGATACATTGCTGGTTTTCTATATTCTAATTCCTGAATGGAGTTTATTATGCTTTGTCTAAGCAAAACTGCTCTAGGTGCTGGGTTTTCTTTTGTTAGAGATGAAGCTAAGCCGTAGCTCTGCAGTTGCCCCTCCAGCTCACGCTCATGCTGGCAAGGTGGTACTGCAGCTAGTGTTGCTGGTGTGAGGATTATTGCTTGATTTTGTTCACTCCTGATCTTGTTCCCAATCATTATAACAGAGGGACAAATGTGACTTGGTTAGAAATGCCATTGTCTGCTGGGGGTTTCAGTACAGCAATGCTGGTGTTCTGGTGAACAGCTTGGAAGATGATTATGAAGATCAGGGCCTCTGTTAGACACCATGGACACAGCATTTCAGCCGCTTCTGGTTCACCATGGACTTATGTAGCTCATGGCTTTTATCTGAAGGGTTCTTCTGCATTTGCCATTGAGGGAAGGTTTTTCTCCAAACCTAAGTGTCTCACAAGCCTTTCCTCCTGGAAATTTTTGGTCAAGGTCTCCAGGACCTCAGTTACTTTAGAAAAGGGGACTGGGACTTGTGAAGGATTCACAGTAAGAAATGTCTTACCTAACTGTGTCTATCTGAAAATCAGCTATTTGGTCTTAACAGGTAGTCTAGACTCCTCCCACAGCCAACAAAGAGAGGTACGAGGAGGTGATTCATCTCCTCTATCTTGGAGATCTGTCAGGTCAGGATGAATCAACCCCTCTGGATGCCTATCTCCTTCCACTGGTAGCTGGATCAGAGCAGTCACCTAACAGGTAGATGACTGCAGTTAGGGGCGATGAGTCCCAAGTGCCATTGGCACATTGGAACATATAACCTCAAGCCTAAATCTGCTTAACAAGCTTAACAGACATCATACTCCCCAACCACACTGAGGAACCTCTTCCATTTTGCTTCTTCCAGAAGAGTGTTACAGGTTTACACACATCCATGACCAGCCTCCAGTTTGGGTTAACTTAAACTTTTGTCTACAGACCTGTTTGAAGCCTGTGCAGGTTGTAAGACATGAAAACAAAGATAAAGCAAATCAATGTTTGAAGAGGACGTTGCTGCTCTTCTTTCCAGCTGGAGCTGGTGTTGTGAACGCTTCCGAGGAGTTTGAGATGCACAAGCAAATTCATGTACTTCAAGGAAATGACCCAGGATAGCATTCAGGAAGATTACTTCTAATACTTCTGGAGTTAAAAAGGTGTGACAGGCCATCCATGTCCATGTTGCTGCTGCATAGCGTTGCAACTTAGACACTGCTCTTAGACTGCCTTAATCTAAGGCATTGCCTTAGATGGTGACCCTGAGCGACAGGAGGTCTCTTGTCTCACCCACAGCTCTTAAAAACCAGTATTCCCGACTTCCTCCTTTTGTTTTGTTTTGTGTCTTCTTGGAAACCTCAGGCTTTTTGCTTTGGCATTTTCTTCCCAACCTCATGATACCGACGTTCAAATATTAGAGCAAAAGAAATGCTAGCTCTGGAGAGATCTCTCTGGCTCAGTCAACACTTCTGACTGAGATCTCTGATTTACAAAGACTATTTTGTGTTTATTCCTCTTGCAGGGTGCCTCATTTCACCATCACTGTGACTAAGCACTGCAATGAGTTGTTATAATGTAGGTAGCACTGAAAGTATTGGGACCATTCCAGGAAAAGGCTCTCTGAGGGCAGCAGGTTTGCACTTGGCTGCGGTGTTTCCTTGGTTCATTCGTCAGGGGTTGGCTCAGCCTTCAGGCATGAAGTGTCCAGTCCCATTTGCACAGTGACCACAGTGGGAATCAGTAATGGGGACATGAGTGACTGCAATGCTCTCTGTGTTGGGTGATCTTTCAATTCAGGTGCTGTTGAATCCAGAAGACCCTTAAAGACATTTGTGACCCTACTGATGATGTGAGTTATGAGCGGTCACCAGTTGCCAAAGCCGTCAACCCAGAGGAGATGGCTATGTAAGGCCTGAGCAGTGCCTGAGGTACCTCAGGAGGTACAGTGTGACCACAGTTTACACTGACAAACCTGAGGGAGGTGTAAGTAAGGTAAACTGGACACCTAAAGCATTGCAGTCATGGCAGAAGTCTCAGCATGAACTGCGTCCTTGACTCTGACACCTCAATGCCACCCCAGAAATGGGGGTTCAGCACTGGGCTCAGAGCCATGGTCACAGTCTGATGTCCTTGGGTTGCAGCAAGTGTGCTGTTCACCCCAACTGCAGGCACAGCCAAGTCCCACCTGCTGGAAACTACTGGAATGGCTGGAACCAAGGGATGGCAATACATGGAGCCAGGATGCATGCCACAATCAAAGACCCTCTGAGGCTTAATTCCCACCTGCAGCAATATTGGACCTTCAAAGCTCATTTAGTACAAACCCCTTGCAATGAGCAGGGACATCTTCTTTTTGATCTAGACCAGAACCACATCCAGCCTGGCCTTGAACGTCTCCAGGGGTGGGGTATCCACCACCTCTCTGGGCAACCTGGGCCAGTGTTTTACTTCACATCCAGCCTGAATCTCCCTGTTTTAGTTTAAACCCATCACCCCTCATCCTGTCACAACAGACCCTCCTAAAATGTCCCTCCCCATCTTTGTTATAGGCCCTTTCAAGAACTGAAAGGCCACAATAAGTTCACCCTGGAGTCTTCTTCAGGCTGAACAACCCCAATGCTCTCAGCCTTTCCTCACAGGAGAGGTGCTCCAGCCCTCTCGTCCTTTCTGTGCCCCCTTCTCTGCACCTTATCCAACAGTTCTGTGTCTTTCTTGTCCTGAGGACTCCAGAGCTGGACACAGTACTCGAGGTGTCTGATGTCTCCAAGCATGTCTGATGCTGTTCTTATTAAAGCCGTTAGAACTGAGTTGGATCCTGGCACATGAAAGCCAGGGACCAGTGGCTACAAGCTCCTCTGGCATCACTGCTGGGGTCTTGGGCTCTTCTGCACTGGCCACACAGCTTGGCTTCTGTTTCATGCTGTTATGGTGATCCCTCTGTACTAGAGACCTTATGTAGATCCTTAAACAAAGGTCTTCTGTGGGAGAAAGTCTCAGAGCTTTCTCTCCCAAATGCATTATCTGCATGAGAGGTGTTCTCCACAAGAAGGGAACGCTCCCTGCCATCCCTGGCTGACTTTGCCTCTGTGGGCAAAGATCTGTCATCATCAGTGGGAGCTTGTTCCAAACGGATTCCAGGACAAAATATGTCATTTGCCGTGACAACACAATTGAGTTTAATAGAATCCCCAAAATAGAATGGTTTGGGCAACCTCATCAAAGAAAACAGATTTATAGTTGTTGCACACTGTTGCTCGGTCAGACCCTCACCTCCCTGTGAGGTTTTGCAAGAGGGTTTAAGCTTTGGTTGGACATCACCCTCCCTGGCCAGATCCAGCCCTAAATCTCAGCTGCAGCAGGAACCTGAGGAAGGAGCACAGGGCAAAGCAGCACCCGGGAGAGGTGGGAAAGAGCAGTTCAGAAATAGATAAACAATATATGTGCTGGTTTTGCAATTTTTCTCCCTGCAATGGAGTGTGCAGCAGGCAGCAGCTACGGCGTTTCGCAAGCAGCATCGAGAGTTCTCCCCACCCATCACTCAGGGTGGGACGCTGTCATGTTGCATTGCCTGCGCTTTGCCCTCCAGCCTGGGAGAAACCTGCTCCTGACGTGTTTATACGGAGTCCTTTACTTCTCTCTGTCTGCTGCTCTAGAAACAAACAAATTGCAAGGGAAAAAATGAGAGCCAGGTAATGAACTGATCGCGTCCTTAGATGCACAAGTCAGAAACACCCAGTTATCTGGGAGAGCCTTCGACGTGGAAAGGCAGCACTGAGATTGGAGCGTGATTGTCGGGGCTTCCAGAGAAGCCTTGCCTCTGTGCTTCTGCTTCTGCGGAAAGAAGGAGGAGGAGGAGGACTTTTCCTCTTAAACAAAAGCCAGGAAGGGGCTCGCAATCATGGTTGGGATAATGCCATTTTGACTTTCTCTCTAGCAGCAGTTGAAATAAGAGGTTAAAGGTATTTATTTGTATTTATCTGTCTTGTGTGACTCTTGGGTATTCCAATTAATGTTCCTAAAATGGTCCCATACTGCAGGCTGAGAACTGGGCATCCACAAATTCTTGTTAATTTAAAGGCAGGGTGTTGTTGCTGCCAGTGGAGGAAAGCCCTTACTCCTTGGGTCTGATAAGAGCACCTTTGTGCTATCGGTGCTCATCTTTGCTGGCTTTCCTCCTGGTGCCTGCTCTCCTTGTTTTAATATCAATGAATGGCTCCCAAGGCTTGGCCTCAATCATACAGACTCATTTTGCATCAGGGAGGAGAAGTTCAGGGTAAAATTCAGGATGTTGGCGTTGCCTGGCTGCACGTGAGCAACCTCCAGCATCCTACCAGTGCAGGGTACAGCCAGTGTGTGATGGTCTCTGGCTGAAAGAAGAGACCTACCAAGCTGCCCTGACTTCTTGAGTCCCACAGGGAGAAGTCTTGGTCACAGCCTGTGCTCCTCTATAATGGTTTCTAGATCTCGCAGTGCAGAGGGAATTGCTGCTTTCTGTCTCCACCCTGCTTTGAGGGACTTCCTTGTCCTTTCCAGCATTGCTGCGCACTCCTAAAGGGAGGAGGTGTGGACCTGGCCCACCTGCCCCATGCAAACACCCCCGAGCAGTGGGCAGATGCAATCCAGGGTGTTAGGAAATCTGGGCGGTTTATGAGGTTTGAAGGCAAGAGATTGATTATTTCCTTTCACTAATGCTGTTCTGCTTAGGGAGAGCTCCCTCCACGCATAATGGCATCAGCAAAAGTTACGAGACTGTTGTCAGGTGGATCTTTAAACCACAGACTATGTAATAGCATCACCTTCACCTTCAGACAGTCACCTCTGCTCCAGACAGCAGAGTGCCTTGATTCTCCCTTGCTATCTCATTGATTGCTGCATCCGCAGACAGATAACAACAAGGGGAACTCCATTCTCTTGGCCATGTTTGCTCCAGAGTTAGACGTGGAGGTCTCTGGCTTAGACTGGTGAACGTCTGAAATGGGGACAAGGGTTTTAGTCTGAGAAAGCAGCTCTTAAGGCACAGACACAGCTCTCTGCGGAGATCAAGAAGCAACCAGGTCAGCTACATCCATGCAAGGGTTCATAGAGGCTATTTGGCAAGCAGGTCTGAAATCCACCGGAGCTGGCAGGAGGCTCCTCATTGATTTGGAGGCTTTGGATCAGCCTCCTGCTGCAAAGAGGAATTCTAAGATACCAATTAGGTCCGTGCCACTTGAAAGAGATTAAAATGGGCTCAGCCAAGCATCTGGTAGAATCAGCAATAAAAGTCATGCACTGACTTTGGTAATGAGCTTCACATCACACGGGAACTATTTTCCCATGAGTTTGCAAAAGGCTTCCCCGCCCTGCCAGGACCTGCACTGACTTGCTGCTCAGGGCTCCCTGTGTTGCAGAAAGGTGTCTTTCCAAACAGGCGGTCGCTTTGCTTCACCCATCATCTCAGGGCTGGCAAGGAAGAGGACAATGCTGCACACCACCATAAAACACAGCAGGAAATAGAGAATTGATAATTCTCTATCTGTAAACACAGACAGCCTCACACCTTCCCTCACCCGCTCCGCTGGCGGAGAGCCCGTGTGAGTACACGGGAGAGCAAACAATAGCTTTGGATAAATAACAAGTTGGCTCTTCCATGGGGAGCTGAATTGGTTTCAGCAAATGCCCAGGGGCTCCGCAGCTCTGCCAAGCTTCTGACAGCCCTTCAGAATAATCCCAGCTTATACTGACTCATAAAGGAAAACGACAGGGCTCACGTCTAACAAGCTGCTGCTCCGTCCTCCAGCCCACAGTGAGCCCTGGGAGTGGGTTCCCCATCCACAGAGCAGCAAAGTCTGTCCTGCACCCTCCTGCTTGTCCCATCCCTCACTGTCCCAAGGGATTCTGAACCCAGAAATATAAGCTCAAAATGAGGATGATGTCACCCTTAGAAAAACATACTCTTCTGCAGTGGGGGAGATCATGACTTCATGAGAGGTCTCTTTGCTGTTGCTGCATGCGTGGTGCAATCAAAACCAGTATGGAAGACAGCCTCCATGTGTGGCCACCCTGAAATCCCAGTGGGCTTGTGTGGGTGCCAGGGAACCCCCTGAGACCCATGACACTTACCCATCTGCCTCATCCTCGCTCTTCTCATCGCATGCAAATTCTTCCTCCAAGTCCCTGGGAGCTCTGCAGGATGCACCAAACCTGTTACCGGCTGTGCTGCAGAACCAACAGGTTTTTTCTGTGTCCTCTGGAGTAAATGCAAAGGGAATTTGCTCCTCTTTTCTCCCCTTCCAGCAATTCACCTGTTTAGATGCAAACTTGCAGAATGAAAGTATGAAAACTGCTTCAGACTGGTGCTTAAATGACAGAGCAATCTGGGTACCAGTGTAGCTGGACTGTTTCTTCTTCCCCAGATGGCATGCCTGCTAGGTGACCCTTTTGAAAGGTCCTCAGCCGTTACCCGTGCAGCTCTCTGGGATGCAGCAGGGAGGACTCACTGCATTCCTGAAGATCAGTGTGTTAATGGAAATATGGGGCTTAATTAATTAACATAATTAACAATTCTGCAGAGTGCTGGAGACAGGAATGATGCTGAGTGTGCTCAGCACTGGGATGAAGCCGGAGCAGAGCAGCGGGTCTCAGGGTGAGCCTGCAGAGGACACCAATGGCTTTATCATGTTTCTAGGTTAGAAAGGATGGATATTTTCCAGTGACATAACTATTGCACCAGGCACAGACTATTGTTTCCATGGAAATAATAAGGTGCTGGTGTTGACTATTTTAATCCCATCCCAAGGGATCCTTGGGTGGCTTTTACATGCCTGTTTGCTGTATGTCTTGTAGATCTGCTGAGGAGGAAAGAGCTCAATATCATGGGGCAAACAGCACTAAAATAGCTCTATTGTTTTTTCCCTTACTAGGGTACACACCTTAATGACTTGGTTTTCACTCAAATACCACCCTACAGGCTTCCAGGTGACAGAAGGTTTAATATTGCAAAAGAATGTGGGATTCAATCCTGGTGTACGTGGGGCAAATCTGGATGGCTTCTGGTGAAGTGGTGAAGACCTTGAACTGACAGCAGGCAGCAAAGCCATTTTCTCATTGGATTAATTGTAGTTGGGATTTGTTACTGACTGACTTAGTCATTTCAACATTCCTCATTGTTCTCTGAATATCCCATTACATGAGCAGATACCAGGCACCTTGTAACTCATAAGCAGATATTCATTGTCTCCACTTGTTTCTTGGCAGAATGAGATTCAACAATCCCTTGGTGATTTTTTGCTCAGTTTACTCCCTTCCTAAGGAACTTAGAGATAGAAGGGGAACAAAATAGCATAAGGAAATTAAAAACAAATGCAGGCAGCACTGGAAGGTCAGAATGAGGCATCACTCACTGTGATAGCAAGAGATGTGATGTGGGCCCCTCTAATTACAGATTGGGTTAGACCTCATGTGTTGGAAATGGCTTGAACCTGCCCGAGGGGAGACTGAGCTGCGCTCTTAGGTAGAAGCTCTTCCCTGTGAGGGTGCTGAGGCGCTGGCACAGGGTGCCCAGAGAAGCTGTGGCTGCCCCATCCCTGGCAGTGCTCAAGGCCAGGATGGACACAGGGGCTTGGAGCAAGCTGCTCTGGTGGAAGGGGTCCCTGCCCGTGGCAGGGGTTGGAGCTGGAGGAGCTTTAAGGTCCGTTCAACACAAACCAGTCCATGATCCTATGATTCCATAAAATAAGGCATTTTGTTTATTGCCAGGGTCACGTTTGAGCTTTCAATTCTGTTTTAAAGCTGCTGGATGCCATTTCCTGATCACTGAGTACCCCCGCATTTCAAGGGAGGGTCTGGCACCTCTGCAAGTGTTGTTCTCTTGTAAATTTACCTCTTGTCAATTTCGGGCCACAAACAAACTTGTGAAGCAGAGGAATTTGGTGATGTTCCCGCAGGAGCGGGCTTGTCTGTGTCAATCTGCAGCTCCATCCTTGCCTAATTTCTCTGTCCTCTCTTTTCCCATTGTCCAGCTGTACAACGGGACACTGAAGCGGGACGTGGAGAACAGGCGCTACAGCTCGTACAGCCAGATGGAGGGCTGGGGGGGCAAGCACTACAGCAAGGCTGTCTGCAGCCCCGCCAGGGCCGGCAGCGACTACTGCTTTGTGCCCAACATCAAGAGCAGCCGTAGCGAGCCCGACCTCTACTGTGAACCACCCCGGGGCACGCTGAGGAAGAGCCAGGTCGGGGGCCGGGCAGAGCACAAGGCAACCTTGAACCGCCAGAGCATCTACAGCAGCTGCAGCACCCAGCAAGGAACTACCAGGACAAGTAAAAAAATGCCAGCACGAGCCCTCTCCTGCCCCTCAAGCAACAAACCCGACGTGGTCTATGCCCAGCCCATGATGAGCTGCAAGCAGGACATGGTTTATGGACAGGCTCAGTCCGGCTCCAAGTAAGTCTGCTGCAATGGGCTGAATCTGAGTGCATGTAAGCATCTGTCCATATAGACGCTGGAGTTCTGCTCACCAGTGCACACCGTGCTTAATCACATCCTGCAATAGAGTCTAAAGTGGGTCAGATGAGTCACAGTCTTAAAGGGCTCATTCCTTTTCATGGGCTATGGAGGGAAACCAATATGGCTCAGTGTATCTATCTGTGTGATGATGGGCAAGATGATCCCCCGGTCTCTGTGATGGTATTAGCTGACAGCTCCTTTGAAAGCTGAGGGTGGGGAGGTGAAGAGCAGGAAGCTTGGTGTGCAGTTGAGGTGCCTCTCCTGGCTGTCACATTGCTTTGATTTGGCAGGAAACCAACCTAAAAATATCAGCTTGCTTTGAAGGAGTTGGTTCTTGAGGGTCTGACTCAGAGCAGAGCTGAGAACATGCTGAGTAGTTGTATTTACTCCTCTGTCTTTCCACCCAGCCCTTGCTTCGTTCTATCAAAAGGTCTGATTTGGCTTCCAGAAAAAAATTCAGTCAGAAATTGAAATTAAAAGCCCAATTGGAATAATTTACCTATCCAGGAAAGAGAAGGGAATGGAAGCTGTTTGGTTCCTTCCTGTGCAAAGCATTCGGTCTCACTGGGGTTAGGAATTGTGCAAGGGTGGAGGATGGTCCTTCATGTCCCAGAATCAGGTCCCTTCTTGTAAAAGTTGCCTACAACAGGGCACGGAAAACACACAAGTGAGCTCAGACAGCCCCAAGCTGATGTACCTGTGCAGCAGAGCTCTCATGACAAAAAGAGCTGGTGGGGTTTTGGTGGCATTGCAGTGGTGTTGATTCAGAGTGCCCTGATGCTGATGGCAATGCTGCCTCTGGCTCTGGTGCACCAACCATATTCTGCCACCGTCTGTGAAGAGCTTTGGTCTGCACAACTGCAGTCTTGGAGGACTCTGGTTTGTGTGGCTTGAAGTGCACTCCTGTTGCTGCATCACTGTCACACAGGGCACCAATGCAGAGGTTATCACAACGCCCAGCCAGACGTGGCAGCTTGTCACACAAACCCTAGAAGCTCCTGAGCTCATCCCTAGTAGTCCCTGGTCCAAAAGAGAGCTTACACGCTGCAGTACAAGAGCGAGGCCAATTAACTGGGCCCATAGGCTTTGTCCTAATTCACACCAAAAGCCTGAGACTGTTGAGCCATTGGCCCAAGGCATGATATAGCTACAGAGAAAGTCCTGCCCCAGAGTCATCGCTGTGAACCAAGTCATACCCTTTATCACATGGAAATGTTGATTTCCAGATTTCTGTGCTAATTCTCTGCTCAGCCTCCCTCTTTCTGTATTGAGCAGATGTCCAGAGCGTGTATGCTAAGAAATGTGACTCACCCATTAGCATTGTTGCCATGAAACCTTAGCTTCCCATGTGCCCGGTTACTCCATGTTTAACACATGCAAAATCAACTCTGGGCCAGCTCAGAGCACCGGTGGCGTTGGTTTGCTCCTTTGAGAAGCTTTGTAATTCTTCTGGAACAGGAAACATACGTTACAGAAACTGGAAGTAACTTGTTCTAGGGAATTTCTGACTAAAAGACTGGTGGGAGGGATGGCGGAATGATTAAACATGGGGCTGCAGCTTCCCTTCTGCCCAGGGAAAATGCTGCTCTTCAGAAGTTAGGCAAGCAGGCTCTGTCCAAAGCAAGCTCTGCGCTGCACAGTGCTCCTGGTTATAGACTTGGCCATTGCTTTGGAAAGGTCACTTGAAGAATGATGGCATTTTCTGAAGAGAAGAACTGCTGTTGTGAGAGGAACACTCTCCAGTGCCGGCTGCCCTTCGGTTAGGGAGTGGCTCCATTTATACACTTCTGGCTCGGGGCATGGCTCATCTGGCAGAACTGGTTCTGATGTGGAAATGTCGGGCTTCACGTCGCTGGTAGGCTCAGCTGGGGCTGTGTCCCCTCAGTAAATCTGATTTGGCTGGTGCACACCCCCTGCAACTCACAGCAGAGCTGCATTTGTTGGAGGGGGTTTGTACAAGCGCTTTTGCTCTTGACTCAAAGGAGGTGATGTTGGCACAAGTTTTGTGAACACAAAGGAGCTATCCGGTTTGAAAACAGTACTTATTTGGAAGGCCATTAGCCCTTTTAATAGGGTGTCTGGCAGGTCACTGTTAGCCTTGGTTTGTAGAGTGCTTTTTATGGGGAAGGGGCCCCCAGGGATGGGTTAGGACCGTGTCTGGGCTCTTTTTGCTGTGTAGGACTGTTTCTGGTTGGAGGATTCTGCACTTGGAGAGCTTGATCTTCATTTGGGTAGGTTGATCTGTGGGCAGGGAGAGGGTTGCTTGTAGGCATCCCATTATTAACCTCTGCATGCAGGAAGAGGGCTTACCTGGGTAATAGCTGCTGGTAGTTCCCTGTTTGGGGCTCTGTTCTTCCTATTCTAGCAGTTCTTTGACTAGAGGTTTTGCCTTTATAACAAGGATAATTTCGTGTTCAGTTTTCCTGCTGCAGATCTCCTGTGTAGGTGGGTATCTTGTCTGCAGGTTAGCAAACTGTGAGCACAGGGAAGGGCTAGATAGTTTCCACAGTGATCCAGTGGGGTGATTTCCATTGCTGTGAGAATGGTTGCAGTGGGACATGTGATCCACTGGGGCTGTCTGTGATGCAGAACTCCCCTGTAATGCAGTGACTATGGACAGTGTTAGTGCTGGTTCAAGAGCTGATGCATCTCAAGTGTCCTGTGCTACAGAACTGATCTCTTTGGATGATGTGAAAAAGGGGCCATTGGACGCTCATTCCCAGGTCATGAGAGTGGTGTGTAGGCATCAAGATACTGAGTATGCAAGCACTGCCAAACTCTCTGCACTGAGCAGATAGTTCAGTTATTTGTAGATTGGTCACAAAGTTATTTGATTTCTGGAACTACTCTTGGTTATGTGATTGCTTCCATTTATTGCACTGGTTTTGGCTGTGTCAGGCATGGAAGAGCTGTCTTTTTGATAACTGTCTCTCAGAAGAGTCCTTCCTCTTACAGAAACCACTCTAGCTGCTGAAAGAACCTTTCCTCCAGCTAGCTGATGAGTAGTTTACCTAAATGTTTTTAGGGAGAAACCATTCAATGATTCTATGATAAACTAAACCCTGATGTAGGGTTTTACTCATCCCATAGTATTGGTTCTGGTGATGAAGTCTGAGTTTTGCACTGTTTGCTCAGATCAGGAGGTTAAACAGTACTGACTTGCTTTGAGAAACCTCCTCCTGAAGTATATTCTCTTCCACCACCCCATCATTATGATCCTGCCTCAGTGAGTGGAAGAGGGAATTTCTGATGTCCCTTCCAGACATACTTCTCAATAACCGCTCAGGGGATTAAGCCTTTGTAAGCCTTATGTCATATCTGGAGCAACATTTCCAAGCTCAATGCATCTATTCTGGGCTCAGAACTTCATGGGTTATTCTGGTGGCTCCTGCCCAAAGGCAGTTCTCGATGAGCAGCACTCACTTTTTACTACAGTACAGCTTTCTGCAGTGGCAATGTCAGTGCCCCTTGGTTAACTCCAGGGGAAAGCCAGATGTCTGAGCTGGAGACATTGCAGAGAGGCCACACTAATCTCATCCCCTGTGAAGGATTCAGAGTATTCTTATTTGTGAAGACGAAGAGGTGAGCTGGGATGCTTGCAGACATTCCCCAGCTGGCGATACAGATCAGGAGCCACTAATGGACACCTACACTGTGTGTTGTCTCCCATAATACCACATGCACCTTTGGCCTTATTTTAAGATGTGGGTGCATTTCCCTTTGGTGTTCTCTGTATATTGAGCAATTGCTGTGGAGCTGTGAGTGATGCTGCCCTGGCAGGGTTTATATCACTGCACATAGCAAGGATCCCCTCCTCCCTGGTTCAGTGTGTGCCCATCTTTCCTGGTATCTGCACTAAGCAAAGCCTGAGGGGAAGCTCCAGCTGAGGTTGCAGTGGCATCATAACCTTGGTACCATGTCCCAGAGGTGGATGTGGCTGCTTGGCATGGAGCATGGCTACTGGGTTTGCACCAGTGTGGCCTGACTATGGAAGTCTTGGATAAGCTGGACACTCTGAGTGTCTTCATACTGGTTTTGTTAATGAACAATGGAATTTGTTAGGATTTTCTGGCTTCCTCCTCTCCTGGGTATTGTAGCCCCAACAACCAGGATGGAGGCTTAGATCTGGTTAACACAAACCAATCTGCTAATAAAAAGTGAACAAAAGGTGTTAGTATCAAATCAGGGAATTTGCCTTTCTGTGATACTGATCCTCTGAAGTGTTTGTTTCCCTTCCACGCCTGAATCTAATCACCTAATTTGTCTCCTGTTGAATCATTTCTAATTGAGGTCTCTCCCTGTTCTGATTGCTTCTTTCTTGTGGAAGAAGAGCAACCTTTGGAGCTCTTCCTACCAGGCACATGGGCCCAGGTTGGAGATGGCCACAGTCCAAGAATTTGTCTTGGAACAGGTTGTTGTGCTCATAGTGTAGATCTGGTTGGGAATATCCCTGACCGGCTGATGAACAATCTCCCATTAGCATGGGCTTTGCCATGGTGATTATGTTCTCAGTAGGAGAAACTGAGGCAGCATGACTGAGCCTGACCTCCCACCCTCTATGAACTTCTGTTGGTGACTCAGCAGGGGAAATGGAACCTTACCCATCTTTTCTCACACAGAACTGGACCCAGATGTGTCCTTTTTCCATGCTGAAGGAGGATTTGGCCCTCTTATGTAGTGGATGTGTAGAAAATTGTCTTCCTTGAGTAGCTGGACCAATAATGGATGTCCTTTCCCATTAAAAGTGCACCTCATATAGGGGTTTTTCTCAGTTATAAAGGAAAGAAGTCCCTCTGGTGCTCCTTATGCTGGATCCATTGCGCTATTGTGTGCTTCAGGAGCGTGAAAAAGACTAGGCAAAAAATCACAGCATCCTGGATCCAAACCAAAGCTTTCTGAGATTCTCTAGTTTCTAGTTTAAACTTTGTCTTTCCAGTTTTGTGTTCCCATGCTGCAAGTATAATGGAAGTTTCCTGGAGTTTTGATGAAGGTACAAACTTGAAAAATCATTTGATGAACCGATGTTTTATTGTTAATATAGAAATAGAAGTGGAACGAGGTTCAGCTAACATTAGACAATGATTAAGGTTCAATCTCAGACTGTGGTCTGTCATTCCCATAGAGCAGCAGTGGCAGATGTATCTCCAGTGGGCAGGTCTTCCTGTCTTAGGAAAAATGCCTAGGACACAGGGCAAGTTGTTCTTTGGAAGCACTTTTGTCTCTCCATTAACTACAGAGGTGCTTAAATAAGTAATTCAAACTGAATGCAAATTTCTACCAGTGAGGGTAGGGGAGACAAAGGGCTCTCTTGCAGTCTCACAGCAGAATTGTTGGCTTTTGATGTGTTTGTTATGGAATTTCCTATAGGATTGTGGGTATTACTCTGTGCTATGAATAGGAGCTGTGAAAGGAGGTGAACCTTTGGGTGCTTAAGGACAAAATACCTTATTGTAAGCTGCTGGTGCTGGTGACCACACATGGGTGTCCTCTCTAGACCTTTATTCTTAGCATTTCTTTGGCACAATCAAAACGTGCCTGCACATTCCGTGCCTAGAAGAAGCCATTCCCTCACAGTAATATTAATAACAGTAATATTAAGAAGAATATTAAAATAGCTTAATAAAAAGCACTCTGTTTTGTTAGTCTATTGGACTGTCTGAAGATGTTCAGCCTCTCTACATAGTCACTCACCAGTATGACATGGAGCAAAAGCTTGTATACAAATTGACAAGGTTCAAACAGGAACTGATCTTCCTGATCTCCAGGTAAATTCCCCATCAATCACAGCTGGATTCTGAACAAGGAATAACATCAGACAGGCACAACAATGACCTAGTTGTCATAGCAAAGCCCCTACGCTTGATTTCAGCCACTGATAACAAAGCATTTCCCATTTGTATCCTGCCACTGGTGTTTGTGCTTTATGCAAGTCCTGCTCCAACCCGGAGGTATGAATACCCTTCCCCTGGAGTCTGTAGGCACATTCTGTACCTGTAACAGGGGGTGATGATTGTGGCCAACTTCTATGAAGGGCTGGAGACTACCAATGTAAAGATACGCTGGGAGCAGGAAGTCTCAGTGCTGTTATTAGTATTTCCTGCACTCAGTATTTGTCCATCCCATCACTCCAGACATGCCTGTCACCTTTTCTTTCAGCATCTGTCTACTTCAGATTGTCCTAACAACCTGATGGTTGGCTTCACTCTTGCCCACGAACTCTTTTATTTGATGAACAGTGTATGATGGTTCTCTGTTCATGAAATCTTCCACTGCAGAATGAATAGACATCTAGCACCTCAACTGAGTTCTTATTTTCTGTCTCTTTTGTTTCTGGACAGCCTGGATCCATAATTTATTCTTCTTAGTGTCCTCCACTAGGTATTTTCCACTCTTATCATCTCTTTTTTTGAGATAGAGAAATGCACTCGGGATACACCATGTGGATTATGTGGCAATACGACAATATCTTACATTTTGTATTGATTCCTTCCTTATAATTCCCAGTACTGACGTAGCCCTTTGGCTGAGCACTCAACCAATGCTGTATTTCTCTTTAACACAGAATATGTGGTGATGAGATAGACGGCGGTACAATGACCATCCAGAAAGCCATACAGCTCCTGTGCTCCTCTGATGACAAATACCAGGCTATGGGTGCTTACTATCTCCAGCACACCTGCTTCCAGGAGGAGTCTGCCAAGCAAGAGGTGAGCAAACTCCTTCAGAGCTCTGCTGTCACACTGGATATGGTGGCATATGAGATGGATGAAACTGGTTTCCTCAGTACCAAGGATCCATAGGTCCCCTTGGTTTTAATGATGGAGCCTTACACCTCGTTAGTCACACTCAGGAATTAATTAAGTAGATTTTCAATTATTAGTGGCCACTTTCTCTTAGTAGGACTCAGTGAGGCTTTTAACACAGGGGAATAGTTACAAGGCAGCAGGGGAAGCTGTGTCCACATTGTCACTGTGAGCTGCTGTGACACAGATTGATGGGTTTTGGTGATAGGGAGGCATCCATCCAGGTGCAGTGGATGCTGTTGCACCCAGTTTCACATGAATCTCATAGCTGCAGTGTCAGACACACAGAATTGCTCTAAACCCCACTGTGATGCTCACTGTGCATTGTTCAGTGATATTTCAGTCATTTTCTGCCATTTCAGCTATTTTCATCCATTTTTGCCATGTAAGCCAATGGGCAGATTAGAAGTCTTGTAACAAGGATATTTGATCAAACAGAAGTGCTTCTTATAGTGAAGCTTATTTTTCTTATGCTCTTCCTCTCCCATTACTACATTTGCGCCAACACGCAGCAAAGGAGGCAACCTCAAGGATGGATTGGCTGTGGCACAACTGTCACACAAGTTTATCCTGCCCTAGTGTGTTTGCAGTCATACAGATGTGGGTTCATCAAGATTCCATCCCTATTGAGGTGGTTTTCCATTTCCTGGCACAACAGTGGAGCGGGACATGCTGGCAGAGGGTGGGAATGTACCCGTTTGTCCCCAGTGGGTGCGGGTACCCCAGCCCAAATCACAGCGGGGAATGGTGGGGCAGCCGCACCCTTTGTTGCTGCTGAAAACACTCTCTGAGCACTGGCCTGCCCCATCGTTTCCCAGAAGGATGTGTCAGAGCAGGCGCGTGAGTCACCCCAGCGCACGCTTGTTTGCTGCCCTGTCTAAAGGGTGCTCATTCATGTCCTGTTGTCAGCAAGATCTCCAGCCCATGGGTTGGTTTGTGCCAGGAGGGGCTCCATGTGGGATCGTGTTCCCAGAGTGGAAACACTCATCATTCCAGAGAGGATTTGCCTTCAAAACCTCCCTGGCATCTGTGTGGTGTCCTGCAGGTTGAGGTTCACACCCCTGTCCAGTGCTGCCCCTGCTGAGTGCTGCGGCATGGCCCAGTACTGCTTCTGGCTGCCCTGGAGGGTGTTTACACTGTACCATGGCCGTCTCTCTAAGCTCAGCCTGTGATTTCAGGATGCAGATAAATTACCACATCATGTTATTATATTGCTATAAATGGCCTCTACAGATAGCCAGAGCAACATTTCCACCTGATGCAAACTGACAGAGGTAGGAGAAAGTTTGTGGGAGCAAGCACCTTTCATCAGCAAAGGGTTCAGTCCATGGCCATTACTCATAGACATCTACTCCTAGAGTTTCAGCTCCAACCTCAAGGCCAGCATCTTTGTGTTCATGACCTGTGGCCTGAACCAGATACGCCATCTGTGAGTTCTAGCCATCCTTTCCTGCCAGGTCTGCTTTTTCAGCTTCCCTGCTTATGTGCCATGTTGACTGCTTGCATTGCCATGACAGCTCCCTGTCCTGGCGGTGCTCCGCACTCTGTGCTGATGGCAGCATGTCTCTTCTGGCGCAGGTCTATCGGCTGGGGGGAATTGCCAAGCTTGTGGAGCTGCTCCGCAGCACAAACCAGAACGTACAGCGGGCAGCAGCCGGAGCCCTCCGGAACTTGGTCTTCAAGAATCCAACCAACAAGATAGAAACCCGGCGGCAGAATGGGATAAGGGAGTGCGTGAGCCTGCTGCGGAGGACAGGGAACACTGAGATTCAGAAGCAGCTGACAGGTACACAGCAGACTGCTCAGCCCTCAGCAAGGACCATGCTCCTCCCTGCCTGTGGTCCATGGTGCTCCAGCACGCAAAGGCCCAGTAGCCATGGTGTTGCCATAGCACAAAGTGGATGTTTTATGTTCCTGTCACATCAAATGGCAGTCTAAAACAGAAGGCAGAGGTGGTCTTGGCCTTTCAATGTCCCATAAGGGTTCCTCACACCATTCATGTCCATCAGAAAAGCACCTGACCCAGGTTTCCCCCCGCAGCTATGATCATCCTGCCATTCCCATGCCTTTCTGCACCCCTGGCCTCCGTGCTGCTGCCAGGGAAGGCCAGCGGTGTTGGCAATCCCAATATGGTTGGGCAGGTTATCTCACTGGTGTCTCATCTTTTCTCAAAGGATTGACATGGCAGTGCTGGGAAATGGTTGGACCTGATGATCTTGAAGGTCTTTTCCAACCTTGTTGATTCCATGACTCAATGGCTCCATGATATGAGTTTGTTGGTGCAGGTCACCCCCAACTGTGATTGAGGTCTTGTGTGTAAACCTTCATGAGATCACTGGGGTGATGCCTTCCCCCCTGCAATCCAGTGGCCATAAACAGCAATTATGGGAGGAGGGAGGATGCTTAGATGCCCACCTCCACACCAAACGTTGCTGCTGGTGTGGTCCTGCCTGTCTCCAATAAGGATGGACAGAGACTAGGATTTAGGGTGGCCTCTGCACCCTTAGTTCAAAGAGAGATGAAAAGAAGGACTTTGTAGCTGGAATTCACTCTGACCTAAAGAAAGTTTCTAATGCATGGTGACCTTCTGCTTGAGCTTGTGTTCTGCCCCCTTCCTAGGACTGCTCTGGAACCTCTCCTCCACTGATGAGTTAAAAGAAGAGTTGATACAGGAGGCCCTCCCCGTCTTGACAGACTGTGTTATCATCCCTTTCTCTGGCTGGTCTGATGGCACCTGCAATAGGACAAGAGAAATTATTGACCCAGAAGTATTCTTCAATGCTACAGGGTGTTTGAGGTGAGTCATTACGCAGAGATTTACTGCAGCTTGTGTATGTTGAGAAACACTGAAGCTGTCTAAATCACCTTACAATAAGCTAAAGACATGCTCGCTCCAATTGCATTAATACAACTCTCTCCTTTGAGAAAGCTTTCCTGACCAAGAGAAGGTGCAGACAAATGTAAAACATTTTCCCTGGTATTTCCTAGCATTATTAGACAGAATTCTCTATGTGGGGAAAGCATTCCCCTACTGGCTGTAATAACCGGTTAAGCCCAGAGCAGCCTCATTGCCCTGGCCTTTTGCTGTCTCGTATCATCAGGCTGGTCAGAGGAGGTGCAGACTGAGCCCAGAGCAGTTTATTTTGTCCACGGGAAAGCCAGATCCCTTTCGCAGAGGCTCTTCGCCCTGACTTGCTGTTTCTCCCACCACCCTCCTCCACTTGGATGCAAGATCCTCGTCTCACTGGGAACAAGTGGGAAAGGAAAAAAATGCCCTGTATAATTAGGTACTTTCATCAACTGAAGCTCTCCCCGAGGGAGTGCAGCACCAACCACACCCTTACCAGACATGCAGCTAGTAGGAGCTGTATCTGCTTATGAAACGAAGTGGGTGAACACAGTGGGGGCCTTTTGAGACGTGATACTATCGTCTTCTGTGGCTGGGAACCGTGTCTGAAAGATAGCGAGTGCTGCTCCCTTCCCTGTCTTGGAAGGCACCTTCCCCGTGCAGGGGATGCTGGGGTGTGTGGTGTATGTTCATGTGAGGTGCTCCACTTTTAAGACCATCTCAACCCACCAATGCCATAAAATACCCCATTAAAAGGAGGGAAAGGGTAGGATGGTGGCTTGTAAAATGAGCTTTCCATGGAGTTTGGCTCAAGGTGGGCTCTGTCTCCTGACTGTGGCAGTAAAATCCAACACCCTCAGTGAAGTCTGCCCAGATCCAGGGAGCAAAAGAGGCTGGGGGGGAGCAAGGTGAGTAAGGAAAGCAGAGTGGTTGTGTCCAGAGCCCCTGCTCTGAGGGGTGAGCCAGGATTGCTCTGACTCACTGCCCTGCCACATCATAACACAGAGATGAGAGCAGCCTTGTGTTTGCCCTGGGCTCCAGCCATTGCTGCTCAAGCATTTCTGGATTGCAGATGAATTCATGTTAATGAGGAGGCTGCAAATCACAGTGAACACCAAATCCAGTTCTGGAATGCCTGGAGTGAATATCTCACAAGGACTGCCAACCTCTCTTTGTTTTTCATTTGCAAGCTACAAAACAATAAAACAGGGAAGAGAAAAAAAAAAAAAAAACACAAAACCAACCCAACAAAACAACGAAAAACGTTTCCTGTTACTGGAAAAACTCCCCTCTCCTGGCAGCAACCAGTGCTCAGGAATACATTACACCATTACAAACTGGTCAGTCCCTTTGGTCAGAGTGAGTGCCACTCTTCAGCCTATCTGCCCCCCCTGTTTCCCACACCACTATTGCTGTTGACCCTTCATAGCTCCATACTTGCAACCAGATGCACCTTCCTGATTTTCACAATCATCTCAGCTGGTCCTTATTCAATCTTCTCTTTGGAAACACCTCCAAGGAGGTGATGAGTCTGTGTAATGTCAGATGCGTAGCCTCTGAGGCAAAATATTGCTGATAGTTACTCTCACTAGGAGGATGTTTTCTATGGAGAGCATCTTAAAGGGACATTTTCCTACATGAAGTCAATCCTAAAGAGCAGCAAGAGGGCTGTGCACCACTGCAGAAGGTCTCCAAACTGAGAGCAGTACGCCAGCTTTGCTGTATCTACAGAAACATCCTTAAATTCAGTGATACCCATAGCCAGAACAGAGCCCATAAAGACTGGTAAGCTAACCCAACTAATCCTCTCTCCTCCTTCTTTCCTGGCATGCTCTGTGATGGCTTCCTTCAGAAACCTGAGCTCTGCAGACATGGGGCGCCAGACCATGAGGAATTACCCTGGCTTGATCGATTCAGTCATGACTTATGCCCAGAACTGTGTGGCTTCCAACAGACCCGATGACAAGGTACCAGATGCTCAGCCCAAGCTCTTTGCTAGCGTTCAGCCTCGTAGTTAATCACTGCAACTTCAGGAATACCTCAGAATCTCTTTCAAATAAACACAAGAGGGGACCGGACCCTTTGTGGCTGCTCTTCTCCTTCCAAATCCCAGTGCAGACTGTTGTAGGATTGCAGTCTTCTGTGCTCTAGGCTCTGAAACAGAGGTAGGTTTACAATTTCCCTTTAACAGAGAAACAGCGAAGTATTTTGGCTCCTGATCCCCCAGGATGTTTTCCATCCTTTCACTCCCACCCTGGAATCCTTCCAGTATGTTATCCACCATCTTCTAGCTCTTCCCACCGCTACACCACTTCATCCAGCAGCACTCCAGTGTGTAAGTCCCAGATTGGCACTGCATTCAGCAAGAAGCCAAGAGCTGGCATTTCTCTGCCAGTCCTCTAACTGTGACTGGTTGCTGTGTGTAAATGGCCCTTACCTTGGATAAAATAGCATTTATAGCCATATTTTTAGGAGCTTGACATTTGTGATACTAAACAGATACCCTAAAGTCCTCAGTGCCCAGTAAGTACCAAAACTACTTCAGATGAGCTCAGGATTAAACAAATCATCTTTTGGGGGTGGGTTTTGCAAGATCAATCTTGGCAGCACATACTGAATGCAGCTCTCTGGAAATGCAAGCACAGTTTTTGATGCTGGTTACAGGTATCTAGTGGAAATTTTCCCTTACTCTTTACACTTGGAACTCTGACTTATGGGTAGCAGAGGCTTAAAAGCCTCTTCTTAGTAAAAAGTATCCCCAGTCTGTAGCTGTGGCTTGGATAAAGTCATTAAAAGTTGACTTGGCAGGAGGAAGACTTTCAAGATTTGGCATTTCATGATGGGCACTTTGATACAACCACCCTCTGCTCTCTTTTCCTGTTTACCAGCTTGTCCATTACAGTGGGACCTAACAAGGTTCAAAGTCAGTCAGCTCACAGTATAGTATTTGGGCTATGTAGCCTTCATTCACGTCTACCTCCTTCCTTCCCATCATTGCTACCTTAAGCAGGGTCAGGAGCTTACAGAGTATAACTGCCAAAAAAGCAGGTTATGGCACAGTGTATGTTCTCTCTGTAGCTATAGCAGGCGCTGCTCCATGTTTTTCTGCCTAATGTGATGCTTTGATTTTTATTCTGGGGGGGATTTCAGTCTGTGGAGAATTGCATCTGCATCCTGCACAACCTCTCCTACCGCCTGGATGCTGAAGTTCCCAACAAATACACCCAGCTCAACCACATGGCCCGGAGTGTTTACATGGACAAAACTCTCACAGGCTGTTTCAACAGCAGGAGTGGTAAAATGGAGGTAAGATGTGCACAGGGGGCTTGGAAATGTGATATTCAACCCTGGGCAGGGGCTGCGGGCAAAGAGTAAGATCTGAGCTCCCACTTTCTTGTCTCTTTGTAGAATGATGAGTACGGTGTCCCCCTTCCTGAGGAGGATTTTAAACCCAAAGGACCCAGCTGGCTCTACCATTCTGATGCCATCCGCACCTACCTGTCCCTGATGGATCAGAGCAAGAAGGATGCCACCCTGGAAGCTTGTGCTGGAGCTCTGCAGAACCTCACTGCAAGCCGAGGGCTGGTAAGGGCTCCTCTCTCCTCCACATGCACTCAGTCAAGTGTGTCAGCACTTCACAGTAATCAGAAAGGAAAATGTCCTCATTAAACCTCAGGGCACTACTGCAAGTCTTTGCACAGTGGATGCTCCAGCAAAGTATTTATTAACGCCAAACGTAGGGTCTCATGAGGGGCTATCATCAGCATCCTAAGGCTCTATCCCAAGCTATACACCGGGTTTCAAGGTTTCCCCAGTCTGTTGGTCATAACTACCAACATCTACTGGTAAGGCCACCTCCCCCCAGGCCATGAGTGAGTATGTGCCCAGATGTGCACATGTGGACAGATGTCATTAAAGGAGTGAGAGAGGATGTGTGTGCCACAGCCTGTGTGCGTTTTCTAAGTGGGAGGTGGCTCTAATAACAGGGTGGGTTGTGCTCTGGATTGTGGCTCGTCCTCACATCATAGCTGCTTGTAAAATAGCTCTGACAGATGTCCTAACCTGTAGGTATGGCAGCGTGGAGGTGACATGGGCTGCGTGACACCGTGGGTATTGCAGGAGCTAGGGCACGGCAAGGCGCACGTCATGACAGCAGCTCTTCTGTGGCCAATGTTGTTACTGTGGGCATGTCCTTGCAAGCTGAGTTCACGTGGACAAACCTCAACTTGTCTGTTTGTGTCAAACTTCATCAATTCCAATTTAAATAAGATGGTTGGGGAGATAAAGAGATAATAGTTTCATACGTAGGGGAGGCGTGTCACATGTGCGAAGCGTTCCACCCAGAAACATGGAGTGACTCATGAATGGAGCCTTCCTAATGCTAGGACAGCATTAACTTGCCAGCTCTCATCCCTTTGGGAGCTTTTGTTCCAAGTCTTCCAATATGAAATACTTTGGGAACTTTTTGTGTTTGCAGTTTAACTAAGCAGTGCTGCTTACAACAAGGTGGACAGAGGCTATCACTGCATGGGTAGAGCTGACCAGAGAAATGGGACCGGAGCTATGTGCTCCGTGGCAATCAACATCATTACACAAGAATGTCTTTTGGATGGGGGGGAAGGAAACAAACACAGAAAAACCAGCTCTGGCAGTGCTGAAGCAACTTATTTCATCCTTCTGGAACAGAATGGCTGGAATTTGCCTGGATGTGCTGAATTGGCTTCTTCTTTCAAGGGGCTTATTCCAGCTCAGAGCTGGAGTAGGGTTGGATTGCTGGATTTGCTGTCACTTGAAGGAAAGGAAAACCGAGGCATGTGCCTCCTGGAGCATGGGTCTCAGCCCACTGGAAGAGGATTGCCTTTCAGCCCATTCCCTCTATTCCCATGTCACTGTTGATGTGTTGCTGGTTGTGCAACGATCTTCAGCAGCCTCTCTGATGGGGCAGTAGTTGAGTTCCATTTAAAGTCTATCAATAAGAGGGCAGTTTATTACGGGTATGTGACTTCAACATCCATGAACACTCATCTACATTGGCTACATCCTGAGATCTTCTAGATTTATATAAGCAAACATGAGATCAGGATCCAAGATGAGTATTTTTGGTCTTCAGACTTTTTTTAAAGGTTTTCATTAGCTGTGCCTATTCCACTGCAGCCAGTCACTTGGACATGGCAGGGAGATGCAAGGGCATTGTGATGGGCAAGGGCAACATGGCCATGAAGGTAAAACTTACCCAGTTTTGGGAGTTATCAGTTGGATGAGCAACGATACCCACTCAGGCCCCAGAAAGAGGACAGAAGTACCAGCTGTATCACAGAAGATGAGAGGCTGACTTTGCAAGTGTCTGTGGAGAAGAGGGTAAATGACAAAGTAAAGGGAATTATCCTAGCAAAAGATATACAGATGCATATTTTACAATGTAGTCATATTTATCTGGCCCTGTACATCATTCCAGTTGTGTCCTCCTCGCATAGAAGTCATGAGATATCTCTGTTCTGTCTCCTAGATGTCCAATGCAATGAGCCAGTTGATTGGTTTGAAGGAGAAAGGTTTGCCTCGCATCGCACGGCTCCTCCAGTCCAACAGCTCTGAAGTTGTGCGGTCTGGGGCTTCTTTGCTGAGCAACATGTCCCGGCATCCTGTTCTCCACAAAACCATGGGTACGTCATTTCCACCACAGTGGATTCCAGAGCAATGTCTAGTTTCCCACTCTAATACCTACCCATCTCGCTTTGTAAACCCCATAACAGGACCTAACCCAGCTGTGAAATTGGGCAAAGCAGTGTTATTTCTTCTGGCCAATTACAGGAGATACCTGCAGGCATAATTAAGAAAATATGTGCTATCTCAGTCTTTACAAGCATGTGGAATACTTTATAGACAATGACAAATCTACAGGATCATGAGCATGATAGTGTTTGGGAAACTGAGTTAGTCTTGACTACCCATGGCCAGTGTCATTGCCCTTTCAGAGACCTGCAGCACTCTTTTTGTGTCTGAAAATCAAGTGATGACCATTATGCTATTACATTATTAGTGCCTCCTCCCAGAAATAACACTGCATTCTTGATTTGAATAGTGCTAATGCAGATAGTATCATTCACTTGTGCTAGGCTTTATTTAAACGTTGATTGGAACATTCCACCTCTTTAGCTCACCAGGTGCTCCCAGATGTATCACGTCTCCTGTCATTCCAGTCTGGAAATACCAACAGCTATGGCGAGATCATGACATCAGCATGTTACACTCTGAGGAACCTCATCATGTCTAACCCACACCTGGGGAAGTCTTACTTGACAAGCAACATGCTAAATAATGTAGTAAGCCTGTGCCGAAATGGGTGAGTTTGGGGCAGAAGGCATGGAGAGGGTCATGCAAAGACATTTTTGAGCCCATACGCTCTGTGCAAAGCCAGATTAACCCTAGAGCTTTTCCAACACCCTTCAGAGCCTTAGGAAAGCATTATTCTTACTCTGTGCTCATAGATTGAGAGCCAAAGAAAATTCAAGCATGCTGGTAGATAGAAACCCTCAATGCTAGTTTCTTGGAAACGGGCATGAGCCATCGAGGGTGAGATCTGTAAAGGGACCTCAGGGGATTTGCTGCTTGTTTTAAGAAATTCTATAAAGAACTGAAGCACCAACATCTTAAAACCTTTTGAAATTTCCTGCCCTCTGAACAGGGGATGTCAGTATATGGCCTGAGTCCCTGGCATCCTGGCTTCCCACTCCAATCTTCCTTCAAACCTTACTATGAAGGTCAGGACTGAGATTGAAGCACTGCTGATAGAGTGGGGTTGTACTTAGCTTCAGTGTTCACATTTGTTCACCTTACCACTTTCTCTGTTGCGAAGTCCATCTCAAGTGGCAAAGATGCAGCTGTGATGATATGTGTTATAAGTACCTCCAGTGGACTACACACATGTATTTTGCAACGACTGAGCAAACTCAACACTTTTTCTTTTAGGACTTGGTTTGAGTTTTATGGTAGTAAATCCACCCTGCCTGTTATTCACACTCCTACAGCCCTGTGCAAAAGCTTGTCAACCTTGCCAAGCTCTGTGCTCATTTCTGGCCAAACTGGTGTTAAACTTACATGAGCTTTGACCATGTGTTCAGCTTCCTAGACTTTCATCTCTCCTACCATCTGTCTTTGTTTTAAAATACCTTCTACATATAACCTATTGTTTTCTGTTGTGAAAAGACGTTTGCATGCCTTCTCCATCAACCACTTGCAATCTACCACTTGTTTCATGGCAGTGAGAGATTCTCAGCCATTAAAAGTGGCCTCTATGTTTAGTTTGGACCTCAGCCAGTGAACATCGGTCAGTTTGCTGCTTTTATATGCTTCCATTCTCCAACAAGCCCAATTAACATGAAACCCAGCCCTCTCCTAAGTCTTCGTTGTTTTGAATGATATTTACTTTTGCTTAAAGTCCCACTTTGGATCCCTCAGACCAGTCGTCAGCTAATTTACTACTTCAGCAAAGCGTTGCACAACTGGGGTTGTGCTTACCTTAATTGCCTTGACTGCTTTGTGTGATGAGCTTTGTTTGCAGTGACTCACTAAACTGCGAGGAGTTACTAAACTCTGGAGACGTTCTCAGTGTGTTCCTCCTGTCTGTATCACAGATTCCTTCTGAGAAACTCCCCAGTTCTCACAATGTCCCAAGCTCAAATTGTTCCTGTTCCTTCCTTGTTCATTTCTGTCCCCAAAGTCCTTTATGCAGTTCAATTCTTATGAAGGAATGACAACAGTTTACACCCAGGGCTAATCTTACTTATTCAAGCCATATGATTTCAGACTGTTCCCATAAAGCAGATGTGAAAGAGATCTCCCCACCAGTGAATTGGACATTTGGTAGTTTACAAGTTACTTCACTTCTCCCACTTCCCTATATAACCTGTGAAGATAATGAAGAACCTTTAGGGTAGGGTTTGTCCAGTCCTGCACCAGAAACAGCCTCACCCAGTCGCTGGTGGTAATAACTAGATCCAACACTTCTACTGGGGGCTCTTGCCTAAGTTGGATGCAGACCCCAAGTTCCCCATACCAACAATGAATGTGGGAATTCAATACTATCAACCTCCTCCTTCTCAGCATCACTGCCAACAGAAAGACAGAACCAAGGAGGTCTCGGTGGTGACCAAATCACCATGGAGAACACCACCATGTTGCATCTTGTTAGTATTTTGCAGTTTTCTCTAATACTCTGCCTCAGTTGACCCATGGACACACTTCCCTCACCTTCCAGCACTGGTGGTGGCTTGTCTGCATAATGCACGTTTCCTCTTGTTGCATTTGAAGGTGTAAATCATTAGTTTATGATGCTCAGACAGTTTGTATTCATAATATAGAAAGAGCTTCCAGGTTACAGACAAGCAAATTATGGAGCTTCTCCTTTCTTGTGTTCCTCTCAAATGCCAACCATCCCTCCTCCAAGCTGACGTTTCTTTTTCCTGATGCTTCTTGTAGCTGTATTTTGAGTGAAAGTCACAAATGGTTCAGCAGTTTTATCTGATAGCTGTGGTTTCTTCCTGGAGATCCCAATTAAATAATTGTCTCTCTCCTGCATATATCCATGTTGACGACATAGCATCCACAGTGAAGATGGGTTTTGCTTGGTCTTTGCTACTTTTAATCCTAAAATTAGCCAAAATACTGCATATTAGCTTCTTTTTTTTTGGTTGTCAATTCTGAAAATCAAGCTGCTGTTACTGATTTTAGTGGGATGTCTGATGGCTTTTTCATCCTTTTTCTCCAACTAAGTTGAAAAATATTCTTCTTCTGTTCATTTTCAAGCAACATTATTCCACTAATAAAATCACATCTTTTTCTCAATAATTCTACTGGCTCCACTAAAAGCTTTTCTCCAAAATCTCTTCCTGTACTTTAGAGCATCAAATTTGAATTTCATCTCACAGTCCCTTTATCACTTACTTGTTTTAGTCTCTCTTTGTTCATTCACTTTTCACATCTTTTCTATTGTACAATTTAATGTTGCAGTTTAATTCCACCATAGCATTTTACCAAAATTCACCTTTCAAGAAACCCGAGTCCTTCCTTAAGTATTTTTTTTGTGGAAGAGAGTTCTTCTCATCCACAGACTTCCATTTCTTCCAAAGACTGCACCTTGATAATCAGTTTTGTAAACCTGGGACATCCTGAAAAAATCCTTCTTCAAGGAATTCCTTGGCATGTCCAGTTTCCTGATGAGCACCATCAGTCCCATTTCTCATAGTCTGATGAGGATTATTTTGAGGACGCAATGTTTTGTGAAGCTGTATCATACAGGGAGGGTCCTGAGTGGGGCCTCATAGCTCTCCATCACCCTGGCTGACGCAGGCTGGGGCTGTTGCACTGAGTCCAAATCGGGAGTCTCCCACAGACAGGACGAGGTCCAGGAGATGAGGAGCAGTGATTGGAACCAGCAAGGAGGTTCATATCTGGGTTGTTGTATGAAATGTTCTAAAATCATAAAAGGTGCTGCTATGACTCATGGTTTCGGAGCTGTTATGCGAGCAATTATCTATTAACTCGTGCTGAGTAAGGACTTACGGTTGCAGGCGTTGTTGTTACAAATGTTCCCATCTCCTTCATTCTCACCAGGCAGCAATGGAGCCCGTTCCTCTGCTGCTGTCCCAAAGGGTTCACCCACACTGTCCCTACAGACTCCAGGGAAGGGCTGGCACCATTTCCCTTCTCTTTCACTCTTCCAACTTTCACACCCCTGAAACACTCCTTCAGCTCAGTTTAATGCTCAATTTTCCACTCAAATCCTTTCATTTCTCCTGTTCTGCTCCCAGAGGTTGTTGTGTAATATTGCTGTGAGAGGAAGGAAGGTTTTACTGACAGCCTCCATCAAGTCTAGCCAGCCTCCCAGCTGGAGATGGCCTTATTTGAAGGCTGTCAGTAACACGTGGGTTGCTGCTCTGTGGCCTGCCAGAATTCACCGGGGTTGCTTTCATCTTCCCAGCTCCTGTCCAAAAGCGGCCGAAGCTGCTCGCCTCCTCCTGACAGATCTTTGGTCAAACAGGGAGCTCCAGAGTGTGCTCAAGCAGGTAAGGAGAATGCTTCTGCTTCTCAGCCGACAAGAACAACCCAGGTCTTGACTCACTCGCTGCAGTCAAAGGCCATGATTCAGCAGCAAGCCTGGGCAGTGGCTGGAGAAGCCCAGGGCGCTGGGAGGACCACGATGCTCTCAGCACATGGGAACCCACCTCAGATCCGAACAAGAGGCAGCAAATCACAACCGCCACTGCTGGGGCTGACACTAGGGACCAAGTGGACAGTGGTGTGTTGTGTTGGGTGGCTTGTTCCCTGAGGACGATGCTAGTTTAGGTGGGCTGTTCCATGAAACAGCCACCTTAGGCTCATAGAATCATAGAATAGTTTGGGTTGGAAAGGACCTTAAGATCATTCAGTTCCAACCCCCTGTCACAGGCAGGGACACTTCACACTAAACCATGGCACCCAAGGCTCTGTCCAACCTGGCCTTGAACACCCGCCAGGGATGGAGTATTCACAACTTCCCTGGGCAACCCATTCCAGTGCCTCAGCACCCTCACAGTAAAGAACTTCCTCCTTAGATCCAATCTAAACTTCCCCTGTTTCAGTTTGAACCCATTACTCCTTGTCTTATCACTGCAGTCCCTAATGAAGAGTCTATCCCCAGCATCCTTATAGGCCCCCTTCAGACACTGGAAGCTGCTCTGAGGTCTCCACGCGGCTTCTCTTCTCCAGGCTGAACAGCCCCAACTTTCTCAGCCTGCGTTCATATGGGAGGTGCTCCAGGCCCTGATCATCCTCGTGGCCTCCTCTGGCCTTGTTCCAACAGTTCCATGTCCTTTATAAGTTGAGGACACCTTGCTCCTGGCTCCGATGCTGTTGTGTGTGCACAGCATTGCTTTGTGCTGAGAACAGACCTGGCCGTTTTGCGCTAGCTTGGTAGACTCCCTTTGCTGCAGCCCGTTGTGTAGGATCAGCGTGTCCAAACAGATCTCTGGCAAGGTTTCTCCTCCTTTTCCCCCCATTTTCTTCTGTGTTCATAACCCTACCCTGTGGTTACATCACCCCTACACTCAGGGTAATCTTTTCAACCAAGAAGAGGAGTCTTTAGGATTTGTTTTGCTCCCTGCAACAGAAACTGCGGAAGCACAGAGCCAGACGGGGCCATGAGCCAGCTCCCAGCTCGCGGTGGCTGTCTTTGAACAAGTTGGGTTTTTCCAACTCCACAGCAGTAGCACCTGCAGAGAGTAAAGGGCCAAATTAAAGGGAAGGAGCAGCATCCACAAAGGGGAGCACCCTGGGGGCAGGAAGGTAGAGAGCACCTAAATATGATTCTCATATTAACGGTTAGGGACTTTCTTCATAGGAGCTTGTGTAGCTTTGCGCCGGGCTGTGCTCAGGAGCCTGTGCCAACTCAATTTAATGTGACTGAGTCACTCCTGTGCTCACGCAGATGTTCATTGCATAGGTATACATCAGATGAGAAGGATGGGAGTATGCAAGGATAAATCATGCATAAATCTTTGCCATTTTTCCAGGATGAGGAATAAGATGAAATAATGTTCAGTGAATGATTAAATAAAGGTTTCCTTCAGTAAAGCTGGAGAAGTCTGACTGTTGAAGGGCAGAAAGCAGCACGAGGAAGATGAAGTCATAGATCCATACAATGGTTTGGGTTGGGAGGGATCTTATAGCTCATCCAGTTCCAATCTTCAGCCAAGGGCAGGGACATCTTCTTCTAGACCAGGTTGCTCCAAGCCCCATCCAACCTGAACCTGTCAGAGACTTTGAAGGAGCCTCTTTGGGGAAAAGTTAGAATTCAGAAAGTCCATCAATAAGGGCGATGAGTTGAGGGCACACAGAGGGAGGGCAGTGGCTGTCCTGAGGCTGTCTGAGAATGAAACACACTCTTAAGTGGAGCACAGCTGTTGAAGTGGGGCAGAAGGCTCTCCCAGCAATAGACAGCTACCAGTTTTGACATTGATATGTACTCACTGCACTTCATCTACTTCATGTATTTATATAGTTCCTATTTATCTGCTTTTTCAGCAAGGATTTGATAAGAACATGATGGGATCTTTAGCTGGAACAACCTTCAGGACCCTCTCGTCCAGGTTTTAGGAGCCCCTCCACGCACCTTTAGGCTGCAGGTGAGAACAGGGCCCTCGTGCATGAGGAAGGGGTGGTTTGGGGTAAGGCAGTAACTGATTAATTGTATTTTGCCAAATCCTCTCAGGTGGGGCTTTTCACAGGCCTCTTTCATTCCTGAATTTTGAGGAATGTTGTCCAGTGTCAGTAACATGCAGTTCATTCCAGCACATGCGATGACATTAACCATCCCTTAGGGATTTTTTGGGCACTCAATAATCCACCTGTAAGCCTCATGTCAAAATCTGCAACTACATGCTGTCATCCCAAAAATCCCAATAGAGAAACCAGGTTAGAGAAATCCGGGGCAGAATTTGCACAGCACCATTATGGTTTTTCATCCACTCTGAACTGAGTATTTGATCTGTAAAGCAAAATGCTGTAATTCCCACTGAAGGGAAAAGCTTTAAGCACTTCTCAAATATCAGATTTCTATGAAGAGGATTGAGATTATCCAGAACAAATGGGTTTGCTCTCTTCCCCAACATGCTCTTTGCAAACCAAAATATGTGAGAAAATGGTGCAAAAGACCATTCCTTTCCACTGCCCAGGTATGGATTTCACTTCTTGCTCTGTTGGGATGTTTCCACTGGGTCTCAGAGAAATGTGGAAGTCTAGGGTGGGAAGCTATAGGCAGCACAGAAACTGGGTACAGGCTAAGAAATGAGGTTGAAAGTCGGTTTTGAATGTAATGAAAAGATCTCTTGAATGCTTTAATTACCTGGGATTCTGTTTTTCCTTTGTTTTTTTATTCCGTTTCAGAATTTGGAATTGGTTCATGTCCAGGAAGACAACCCTTCCACAATTACTTAGGATGTTAAAGGTGTAGAGTGTTATTGAGTTTAACTCAACTGTAAAGCAAACTAAACATATGGATTTCATGTGGATGATACTAATATTTTTAAGCATTTTCTTCTTTTTAGGGGGGAGAAGGGACTTTTATTGAGGTTATACTTTCTCGATGTCAATAATTATGGTTTTGTTTTTGCAAAGAGTGTGTCTGTGTAACTATGTGCATGTCGCTGTGTATGTGTGCATGCAGGCAACATACATGCACACACGTGGCGAGTAGGATCTTCCTACAGGCTTAGTCCCCTGTCTTCCACTGAAAGTCAGTGTGAGTTGTGCAGTTTAATCCCCTTCGAGAGTTTTGTCCAATGCCACCCAACCCATGCACCAAATACTGCCACACTACAGTCTTGTCACAACTTATTTTTACCCACAAGTATAAAAATCGCCGATTTTAGGTCAAGTTCACCCATTGCATATGGCCGTTCTCAACAGATACACACGATACTCTTCTTTACAAAGGCTGGTTATTCCTAACATTTATGAACACGGGCTTCTTTTCTACCTATGATTTTTTTCTCCAATGAGCTCTTATAGTTATTAGCATTTTCTTTCCTGTTACGTGAACTCTTTGTCTCAAGAAGTGAACTGATGTCTGCAAAGTCTTTCCTGGGTCTCAGTAACCCTTCTCTGAAGCTACATGTGAGGGGACAATCACAACACATCTGCAAAGCATGAACACTACTGGGTCCCAAACCATTCTGAGCACCGGGACAACTCAAGTCTTATGATTGTACCGGGACAAAGGTGGCATTCGAGATGTTGAACTGGAGACAGGCAAAGTGGTTTTCCCCTGGGATCATTGACTGCCACACAAGAATGAGAGAAATGAGGGGGTATTGATATGCAAAGGAATGTAAGCACTTGGGTGATTTCAAATTCAGAAATATTTTAATTCTTGGGATGCTTAATTACATGAATCATGCTGTGATGCTAAAGCTGTGATAGGCAATTGGTGAGCTTATCTCAGGCCAACCCACTTCTTACAGCAGGAACTGTGTGATGAAAGAAGCTGATCTTCCCCTGCCCAGAAGAAAAATACCCTCTACCTGTCCCTGGAGGGGATGGAGCTCAGATCAACAGGGAAAGGACCAGCTGAAGATACATTTGCTGGCTCTCCCCCACCCACAGTTATTGCTTCTTCAAACAGTGCAGGGGTACAGGACCCTGTTTTGTAAATATCAGGGTGCAGGAGGTGCTTGGGAAGGATGAATTGTGAGCCTGGAAAGGCAAAAACAGTCTCATTTCTTGCAAGTGTCAGACTCCTAAATTGGTGGGAAACAGCATGTCCCATTCCTTCACAGAAATGGGGTGGTTCGTGCCCGCTAAAGAACCGTCCATGAAGTTCAGATTTGCTCTGACACAGCTCTAGAGCTAAGAAATGTGGTAGCACTTGTTTGTCCCCCGTTTAGACCATAGGGAGCACGTGTCCACAGAGGGAGATCATTTCCCAGCTGGTTTTTTCTTCTTTTGGACTACAAAGAGTGGCTTAATGTTGTGCTCTTCAATGAGAAGCAACTCTTTGCTTGCCTTCACCCACATTCAATCGAGAGCTTTCTGCGCCGCGCTCCCAGCCAAATGAGAGAGGAAAAAAAGCACCTTTGAAGTGGGAGCTAGAACCGGGAGAATCCGGTAGGACAGTTTCAGGAGCATTTAAAGAGCAGCAAAGGAGCCCCAGCCCGTGGGCATACCCTTGCCATACCTGCCAGCTCTTCCCTAGCTGGATGCATATTCTCAGTTCAAAATGGTTTTGGCAGGACCCAACACTGTGGATATCCAAAACAATGGCAGTATCCACAGGCAGGATTACTACAGTTTTGGTGTAAAAGCGTGTTGCATGCCATTTTGCATTCAGATGTGTTCCTGTAATTACATGTTCAGCAGAAGTCCTGGGAGCTAATGTTTTTCTCCGTAAAATTAATTGGGGAAACCTAACTGCAAAACGTAATGATGGAATATTGAGGAAATTCATTCTAATTGGCTGTTATTTAGGCTTTATTTTAAAGCCCTGCCACTGCTTTCATCAGTAATGCAGTTTGCTGAATCACTTTATAAGGCGCAAAGAGCCATAGTTGAATGATCATCATCTCACAATTAAATTTACAAGGACTAGAGATTTCATTAGTATTAGACTCCAAGAGACAGATGCATCATTTTATGAACACAGCAAAGTTGTTTTTCCAAAGCTAATAAAATGATAAAACTAAAGGTCTGTCTCCATCCTCAGAGATGTTCAAAACATGACTGGGCACAGCCCTGAGCAATCTCATCTGGCTTTGGCGTTATCCCTGCTTGGAGCTGGGCACACCAGAGAGGTTCTTTCCAATCTCATTTGGTTTTTATGATGCTGTATGTTACTGCTTTCATACCTCAGAATATAGCTAACTCGTGAGAGCAGTGGGCTGTGTGAACTGGAGCTGCTCTGCCAGCCCAGGGCTATTTTGCAGCTATTACTTCCCAGGAAATTCCTGATGCTCAACTCTGTTTTCCTCTCAGTCGTTGGACTACAAACTCCACTCAAGTCAGTGAAGCGACACTGCCAAATTATAAGAAGAGAAAGGAAAATCAGACTTATTGGTGTAATTGGTGTTGCTCATAACCAGCACTTTCGGGAGCTCAGTGAGGTTCCCTCCTTCACAACTGGATGTTGTTCTCACCTCCAGTCCAGTTTTTATTCTTTCATTCTAGGGAGGTATTCTTAAAGGCATGTTTTAAACTGCGATGCCCTCTTCGATGAGCTGGATTCCTGTTTCTTGCTTATTTAAGAACGAAAGTAGGGTGTACCCCCAATGATAGGGACAAGGGCAGGTCCTCAGCATGTAGCACATGCCCTGCATTACAGTGCTGGTGAATGACTGAGGAGGGAAGGGCCATAGCTAGCAGCACCTTTAGCTCTGCCGGCAGCAGAAATCGAAGCGGTTGTGGCCTGATTTGTGAGCAGGACACACAACCATGTAAATAAATACCACACTTGTTTGTCCTGGGCTTAGCAGAGCTTTTTGGTCTATTTTCTCATGAATGCTTTGTTTTGTTTTGTGTATGTACAATCCAACCCACCCCAGCATTTCAGAAGCCTCATGGACGAGTAGAAGGCAGTAGGCAGTTTTATTCCTCTCTGACCACACACTAGTTTGAAACCAACTCAGCCTACCAGTCCATAGCTATACAGTGTATTCTGTAAGATACAGGTATGTGAGAATAATGTATCAGAGTTTTGTTTTGGCTGTACTGTATGTATTTGCTTCATTGGAAAAGCTGAAATCAATAAAAATTGCTGGAATTTCTTCAAGCTTCCCCGTTTGAATAGTTTTATTTTGTTTCTCTTGCCAGTGTTAGGAAAGAATAAAATATCTGTATGATGGTTTGTAAAAGCCTGTTAGCTTCCAGCAGTGATCAGACTGGGCTGCTCTGTCTTATGCCAGTCTGAGTAATGAAGCTTTAAATCCCATTTCCTCCATGTATGTGAAAATGCTCTTACTGTTTATGGCTTATTCTTCTGACTTCAGCTAGTTGTTCCTTTAGCTCCTTTTTGGCACATTTTGAATGGTTTATGCTGAACCTGGCAAAGGTTATGATGTCTTTCCTATTTTTGTCTTCAGCTTTTTGAAAGACACCTTCTGATAAGGTGACACCTTAACCAGGCCAGCTCCCTTCTGCCCTTCCTCCAGGATTCCTTATTGGTTGGGGATGCTGGGATTGTGTTTCAATATGATGAGCACAGTCCACATTGCCTGTAAAGTATAATTGTCCCTTTCTTTTTCCCATAACAAGCACTACCCTGTAAGTCCCCCTTTTGGAAGATGAGCACTGGATATTTAGGCTTTTGCTGATTCAGATGTTGATGTTATGGGGCAGCTCTACAAGCATAAGGTTTGAGGCCAGACTTTTCATGCTAATCAGGACAACATTAATGCTGCATCTGCTCTGGGGACTGCCCAGCCTGCTCCATGAAATTGCCATCAACAGCATCTAAGAATTTGGTCTCTGCATCACATCCTGCAGTAACATAAGCCCAGCCTAATGGGGATGGCAGGATGTGCAGGATGCACTGAAGGCTTTGTACTTCCAGTACTGGGGAGCACTGCAGTATATAAGTGCCAGCTTTTACAAAAGAAACAAGGAAGCAGCATCCTCTTGATCTCCTTCAGAAGAAAGCCCTTCAAAGCAGAAACCTGGCAAAGGGGAAGGTGATTTCGGTTTTAGGTTTACTCAAGGCAAGGCTGAGGACTAACTCTTACCACTGACAAGTATCTTAGGCTGTGAATCCTCTTCATATCAGACAGGCTTGTCACAGCCTGTGCATCCATGCATGGAACAAGGGACAGGCATCACCCCATGCCACGCTGCTCAGAGCTCTTTTCCAGGACCTCTTCTGAGGTCTTTGAAAGGTGGGCAAGCACTAAAGGGTTCAGCACAAAGGCAAAGCACCCAAACCCCAACGTCGGAGCCAGGTTTACAGCAGCACTGCAAAATCAAAACTGCGTTGGCAACTGGGAGCATTCCTTACCTAAGCTGCTTCTAAGCCACAGTGCAGCAGGCATACCTGCAAGTGGTTTTCAATGAAACACCTAAGCATTTGTCTTACAAAAGTCCATTAAGGAGCAGTGTATCCAGAACCCCTTGGGAGGGTTAAATGTTGTTATCTCATACATAGTACAGATGTCCATCCCACAGCTTCTTCAGGCATAAATCACATCTGAGAAAGGTCCTATAAATTACAGGCTAGAAGAGCAAGTTCAGCATAATAAAGAGTGTCTAAAACTAATACAGATGAGTCCTACCTCCATATTCTTGAGTGGGCTCTCTGGACACTGAAGAAGGGCAGGATATGTCAGCATAGCTCTCAGCAGGTCTCCAGTTTGGAAATCAAGAGTTGCTCAGCAATGGAGCTGATATAGGACTATGTGCTTGGATCCATTTGCAGCATGTAAAACGAATACCAAGAAACGAGCATGTCTTTTTATTTTGGGATCTGTACCCTCTGTATGAACACATAAGAAAAGCCCATTTTTGGACAGGACAGTCAGTAGACACACACAAAGACCACAGGGCAGTTTGCAAGAAAAAGGGCAGACCCTGCTGCCCCTTTTCAGGTCCATGAAACCTTCCCACAGATCCCAGGCATACCCAACATTCCCAAGCCATACCCCAGAGGATCACCACTTCCCATCCAACAGCAGTTCCCAATTCCACAGCACAGCCATCACATTGCACTGTGCAGGGCATCCTTAGGGAGCACCAAGCCCAACCCACACACCGCAACAGCACCAACGACCCCACGGTACCAACATCTCCTGCTGGGACACCCCTAACAAAGCTCCTCTATCTCGGTTTCCCACATGCTGGGTGAGGTCACCCCAAGCAGAGGCATTGCTGTGGCATCCCGGCCCCACGGGAGGACACGTGGCAGCCCATAACCAGAAAGCCCTGCCCCATGAAAGCAAGGCATATGCAGAAGAGGTTCAGCATATGCATGGCACCCACAGCCCAAAGCCCCCACAGCGCTCATGCACCCACACCCCAGGGCATCTCCACCATAGGAGCCAGGGGCCTGGGTCAGGAGCAAGCACAGGGAGTGACTCATTCCCTACTCACCTTCCCTGTAACGTGCATGACTTTGTGCTCCTCTGCCTATAACCCTCATTTGTATCTTTCCCACAGTTATGTGTCCCTGCAGATTTAATCTTGCCAAGCACAGATGCTGTTACCTATCCA